GTTTCTCCGAAGATATCAAGTCACTCAGCTCAGGGGGGCTGCTTGGTATGCATGTGGCTACTGCTGAAACTGGTCTGGCTTTGACCCCCCGGGGCAGGCTGGGAGCGACCCTGTCTCCTTGCTGGGCCTTGCTCTCCAGTGTGGAGGGTGTGTCGGGCAGTGCCAGCCTGCGGCACCTCTCCTCTCCCAGCTGCCTGAAGGACCCAGGCAGGGGCATCCATGCCAGGCATCGGTTGCTGGGAGACTGCTGGACACATGGAAGTAGCCCCCATGCCTACACTGGCGTTGGGTCACTCATTTGGGGGGAAAAGAAAAGAAACCACATGTGTGTGTGTGTGTGTGTGTAGGAGGTGTGAAGCCGTGGCACGGTTTCCTGCTTCGGGAGCACAGCCTGTGGAGCTGTTCACGCTCAGCTGGAAGGACTGGGAAGCGGCCTTTCTCTGAGAAACCAGCCCAGGGTCCGGTGTCCAGCTCAGGGTCCGGTGTCCAGCTGAGGCTGAGCCTCCAAGGGTGGCTCTGTGGTTCCCCCGATGGCTTGGCGGCACCCGTCAGCCTGGGAGCTACATCAGCCTTTGTCACCTTCACCCTCTAACTACCCCAACAAGGGACAGTGACACCCCAGCCTCGGTGGGTGGACTGAGAAGGTAATGGGCTCACAGCTGTGGTCCCCAGGTGAACCTCGAGCACACGCACGCACACACGTGTGCAGAAAAGGGCAGGGACACACGCTGCTTTCACCTCAGGGTTGGGGAGCAAAGTGACAAATACTTGTGCCCACACAGAGTATTAATGCACCTCAGGAAGACCCCTGACACACACAGACCCTCACAAACGTGTGCCCCAATCTGGGCCTTTGCCCTGAGCCTTCTTGTCGTCTTGGGTCCTCTGGCACTGGGAGGGTAAGGGCCTCAGTGATCTGCCAACCTCCGTGAGGTGTGGCATTTGGAAGGACACTAAGGAGGGACATGGCTGTGTCCTGGAGGAAGTTCCAGAAAGTGGGAGGCAAGGGCCAGACACCAGTCTTAGAAAGACCACTAGGGGAACCTCAGGGCCCTGCCCAGTGGAAGCTGATCACTTCTAAGGAGTGTCCAGATGAAACCCAAGTCCCCGTGTCCCCTAGGGTCACACTCTACAGTAGTTAGAGCCTTGTCAAAGCTCAGGGCAGGGAGGAACAAGTCAGGGGTTTTTGTGAAGGTGGCCGCAGTTCCCATAAGTAATGAAGGTGTTTGCTCCCGAGTCATTGCAAAGAGGCCGTGCGGTGTGCCTGACTGAGCACCGTCCGGCGTCCCGTGGCCCCGCTCTGCCTCCTACCAGCTGTGTGGCACTGGGTGTGTCCCTGCCCGAGCCCCAGTCCCTGCGTCTGTCACAGGGAGGCCCTCACTCCTCCATGGCCTGGGGTGGACACCACTAAGGGGGTGGGAGCCGCCAAAGCCTCAGGGCCTTTGCACGTGTCAGCTCTGTTCCAGGGAGCCTACATCCACTAACGCGTTTGGTTCTTTCAGTCACCCTAACAGACAGACCTTACTGTTAGCTTCATTTTCCCACATGGTTCAAGGTCGCTCACCCCAAGTAGGCCTCAGCCCTCAGCCCCCGGGCTCAGCCTGGTGTCACCCACGGGAGCCTGTCAGATGTGCTCATTTCGGAAACCCAGGCCGGAGGCCATGCTGGGCGTCTGCAGCGCCTTGGAAATGCAGGACCCTGGTTCCCTGCAAAGAAAGGCCCTCTTTGAGGTAGTACTCAGTGTGGCTTGTGGCTCTGGGCCTCACATTCCACGGATTTTTGGCCCCTGCCATGGGCTTGGCAGCCCGTTCCTCATTGTTCTGCAGCTCGGCAGGGGCCGAGGACAGGCAGCCCCCTGTGGTACCGGGGTGCTGGCAGGTGCTGGCTGGGGGCCCGCACTCCGCTTGGCACGTCTTCCCTGAGTCCCTTTGCCTTGGTCTCTCTGCGTCTGAGCCCCATAAGGAGGAGTTTCTGGCAGGAGATTTCTGGGGTCAGGTTTCTGTTGGGATAGAGACAAAGAATGAAAACCCTTTGAAATACAATACCCCTGGAGGTTCAGGGACCTAGGGGTGGCCTGGGAGGGGAGAGCCGGGTTCGAATCTCCCCTCTGTGGCTCACTGGAGACATGACCTTCAGCCTCCCCTCCAAGCCTGACTCCTGTTCTGTGACAAGGGTCTCCCACCAGCCCCAGCAGGAATGGGAAGGACCTGGCCCACAGGAAGTTCAGAGAGAGAGCCTTCACTGCCACCCGCCTCCCAGCCCCCCGCCCTTCTGTGGTGGCCTCCTCTGGCACTTGGGGGGTGGGGCGTGATGTGCAGGTCCTCCTCGGCTGCTGCTTTGCTGGCACAAAGGCCTCCCTCCTCCTCCTCACTGGGAGCATGGCGCAGTACCTCCTGTTATGTTCTGGGAGAGTAGCTCTTAGGAACAGTGACTTACCAAAGCCCCAGGGGGTTGGCAGAAAAGGTGCTACGTGTCCTTGGTGCCATCCTGAAGGACAGGAACCATGGGGCCCCGTTGGGGCGATGGCCTCTTGTGGCCCACTCAGCACAGGCCCTGTTCTTGTGGGGGGAGGTTTGCCTTCTCCACACAGGAGCAGTGTTGGGAGGTGCTGTGAGGAGCACCCCATGGGGCTTTGGGGCAAAGATGCCATTGTGGGTTCGAATCCTGGCTCCTCTCTCTGTGATCCCTGTGATCTGGGCTAATCTCAGCCTCCGGGGGCCTCGGTGTTCTCATCGGTGAGACGGAACCATGAGAGCCTGTTCTGTGGAGCCGCGGGACTGGGAGGGCTGATGGAGCTGCGGCGCAGGGGGCAGGCGCGGCCTGGTGGGCGCACGCAGCTGCTGGCTCGCAGTCACTGTGGTTTCTCAGGAGGTGGGAGGGGGCTCACGACGCCCCCGTGTGAAGAGTGAGCCCCTGAGAAGCTCCAGAGGGGAGACCCCTGCCTCTGAGCTCAGATGCGGGAATGCCTTGTGGGGACATGGGGAATGACCTCTGCAAATACCGCCTAGGTTCCCGACCAGCGTTTCTTGCCCAGGGTCTCAGCTGCAGAGTGACAGGGTCAGTATACAAACCTGGGCTGGCCACAGAGGCTGTGTGGGGTGGGGGGAGGGAAGGGGAAGCCAGGACCGCCCCTTAGTTTCTGGTCCACGTGAAGTCTGTGAGCAGGTGGCCCGGTGAGCGAGGCGCTGTGGGCCCTGCCGGGGCCTCCTGCGATAAAGACAGAACCTTCCAGCTGAAGGCAGTTCTCCCACCTCTCCTGGAGGTCCCCCTAAGGGCAGAGGATGGTGAACATGTCACCCCGAGGGGTCTGGGGGTGCAGCCCGAAGCAGCTGCAGAGCCTGCAGGAAGTCTCTGGTTTTATCTTAAAATTCATGCGCATTTTACATTCTGTTCCCTCTGTATCCAGTGTATTGTCTGTTGCACACGTGTTCCCCTGAGTAACAGCGCTGCCGCTGCCTCGAAAGCTGTTCCTTCTCGTGTTTATCTGTTTATCCTGGGGCTTTTCGTACCCGGTCCTCGCTGCGTCACCTGGGGGGCTGTGCTCCCCGGGGCGAGCTCAGGCACAGATGGTGGGCAGATGCTGCGGGGGCTGTGGTCCCACCTGCATTTCAGGACGTGGCTTCAGCTGCCCATGTGCAGGAGGAGGGCTTGGTGGGGGAGGGCTGGGGGACCCACCGTCCAGGGAGAGGCAGGGGTGTGGGGACACAGAGGCCTCAGACAGCCACAGTGCCCTCAAGGTGACACTGATTTGAGATAAGAGAAAAAAAGAGACGGGGGAGCTCAGGGACACGGGCTTCCTTTATCTGCACACGTTAGGATGAACCACAGAACTGCCGTGTGTGGGGTCAGAATCGGTCGAGTTCGGGCAGCTTCACACACAGGAGGCGGCGCAGGCCGGTGTGGCGCTCTGCGCATCGGCTCCACGGGGCCTCACTTTCTGTCTCTATGTTGCGTGCTGGGGAGCAGTGTTACCCCGAAACGCAGGTGACAGGTGTGTAAGGGAGGAGCTGGGCCTGCCAGAGCACACAGGAGGAGGGACCCTGGACACAGGTGCTTCGGAAATGCCTGTGGGCGATGAAGGCCTGTCCTCTGAAGGAGGGGGCTGCTCCCCTTGCACCCGGAGGGCCCCGTGTCATCTTCCGTGGGCCTGAGCCTCGGACTGAGCCCCAGGGGTGCTTGTCTGCCAGGGACCAGCGGAGGCTACCCGGGACACCAGGAGTGGGAGTGATATTGGGAGTGAGACTCAGATGACCTTTAGCTCAGGCCTGGGCACATGGTGGCACTTAATCAATCAGAGACAGCTGCTGCAGTTACTATGGCAACTGGGGACTAACATCACGACTCTCCGGGAACTTCTGATGTAACAGCTCAGGAGCTGGAGGTTGAAGGGGTTGCTTGCTTGTCCCCAGAGGCTGGTGCAGGACTGTGAGCGGGACCCATGGCCTTGGCCTTCTGCTGTTTGGTGCACAGGGCCCAGCGCGGATGGTGTGTGGGCTCCTTCCTGCAGCTGCTGCTCGCAGTCTGACTCAAGGTCTCCCTCTCCTGACCGCCCAGGCTGCCAGCCTGAGTTTATGTGAGGGTGATGTTGGGGGACAGAGGGGCAGAACTGCCCCCACAAGAGGCATGGAGGACAGTGATGTGGAAAGAACAAGTCTTTGGAGTCTGGCACAAGTGGGTTGGATCAAGTGCCTCCTTTGCTGGCTGGGGCCGCCTTTGGACTCTTCCCGCACAGAGCCGTGGCTTCCCCCTCTCTCCAACGGGGACCACCCTGGCCACCCTGTCAGCTCAGCACTCGGAGGGAAAGTGTGTCACCAGGGGCGGTGAGTTCTAGCCCTGCCGTTTCTGAGCTAGGTGACCACGCACGAGGTACTTAACTGCTCTGCACCACAACTCACGTGTCTGCAAAACGGGGCAGCTGAAAGTACTTCCTCCAGCTGAGGGCTGGCAGGGGAGGCAGTGAACAGGCAAGAGTATGACAAAGCCCTCGCTTTCTTTTGCAGCCCGTGCCCTCGTGAGGCTGGCATGCAGGATGGCAGGACAGCCCAGCCCCATGTCCCACGGAGGGAGCCCGAACAACCTCTGCCACACCCCGGGGCCCGCACATCCTCCTGACCCACAGGTAAGCCCTTTTCCTCTGTCCGCAGTGCCTTTGGAGCCTCCCAGGAGCACAGATCCCTGGGACGGCTCTGTCTCGGCCAACGGGGGCCGCCCCTCGACAGGGCCTCCTCTTGCCTGCTTCCAGGAATGGGAGCAGAGCTCACCGCCTCACCCAGCCAGCCCTTCGTGCTGTTCGGCAGCACTGGCAGAAGCCTGTCTGTGCTAGACTCTGGGTGGGATGCCCGGCCCTGGTCCTGCGCCTGGGCATTTCCATGGGAATGAACAACTCTATCTCAGAGGGGTCAGCACTGCTGAGAAGGATGGACATGGAGGTGCGGAGGCCCCGAGGGGACAGGAGGGTGCAGGCCGAACTGGGGGCCAGAAAGGACTTCCTTACTCTGGGCCAAAATGCCTCCCTTCTGGTCGGAACCATGTCCTGGCTCTCTTTGGCCTCTTTATCCAGAACCAGCAGAGCTCAGAGGCACCAGTTTCCTTCTACCTGCCTCCCCATCTCTGTAGACCTCGGAGAGGCAGGCGGGCTTTCCCAGCTTTTCCAAAGGCAGCTTTTGGGGTTCTGGGTCACTCAACATACCCCTTGCTGTTCCCTGGGCCTGGAGTGCCCTCCCCAGCTCCTCCTGCGGCCTCAGTCCAAATGCTGCTGCTTCTGGGGAGTCTTTCTGCTTCCCCCCAACCCCTCCTCCATCTGGCCTCCACACCCGTACACAGGCACTAGGTCACAGCCATGGTCACATCTCACCTGGGGACTGGTTTCTTGGTCTCCTTCCCTCCCCAGACAGAGAGTCCTCTGGAGTGGGGCTCTGCTGGTTGCACCACCCTGGGCCAGGCACCAAGGAGCCCCTCATGCCGACCGAGTTAATGCGCTGCTCAGTATGACAGTCTCAGGGGCAGGGGAGGGAGAAGAAACTTGGGAGCCACTGTGAAGCCCCAACATGGCACCTGATCTGAAGCCAGAGAGGCTTCCTGGAAGAAGTGGCATGCAGGGGCATGGAGGGGAAAGAGAGCTTGGGTGGAGCAGCCGGGGCCAGAGGCTGTGGTGTCCTGTAGGCAGCCTGGGATGATGAGTAATTGTCCAGGGTCGGGTTTTGTCCCCAGGGCTGTGAGACCTAAGACAGGGGCAGACAGAGACAGCCACCATCCTGAGCCATGGAAGGATTGTCACAGCTTCTGACCACCTAGTTCCTGTTGGAAGATGGGCTGGTGTTTGCCCTGATTGCACAGGGTTGCCGGGGGCAGGTAGACAGGGTACGCACTGCACAAAGCCTGCCTTGAGGAGATGCTCCCCGGTGTGGGCTGCGCCAGCCCCAGGGAAGGAGCCTCTATAACAGATTGACACAGAGGCAACGCCTGCACTGGGAGCGACAGGGTAGGCAGGTCCCAGAGAACGGGCAGCCCGTCGTGGACCCTGCCGGTCCAGAGTGCACCGGGACATCTCAGCGATGCTGGGGGCAGCGGGGCCTCCTCTGCAGTGTAGCAATTTGTCACATTAAGTCCTTCACTAACAATCGAGTCCCCCTTGATTAATCTCCCAGAATTAGCCAGTTGCATTTTGAGCAATTAGGGTTAATTACAACCTCATTTGGCAGAGGAGAGGGCCTTGTAATTATTTCACGAACACGGAGAGGCTGCGCTGGGCTGCAGCGGCAGCAGTGGCCTTGGTGTCTCGCCACAGGTGTTGGACCGGTTGTGACGTAGTTAAGTGTAATTAGATAGTTACTCGGGGCCGGCTGGTGACTGGGCTGTTGGTGGAGGTGCCCCAGTGTCTGGCCGGGTTTGCAGGACCGGGCTCAGTGGTGCTGATGCTGGGACTGCGGCAGTCGGGCTAGACAGAGGATTGCCGGTACTTCCTCTCCTTTCTGCTGTTTAAACACCCTCTGGGGAGATATCAGGGCCCTGATCTCGCCTATTTCAGGACATGGTAACACCTGGAACTGAGGGCAGAGGCATTTTCCTCTGTGGCAGGTGGCATTGCTGTTCCCCTGAAATTGTTTTTCACGGGAGGAGCCAGGCTCCATGAGGGTGAGAATGCTGTATGCTGGACCAGGCTGGGGTCAGTTCCCAACTCCATCCCACAGATGACTGCTCTGAGCCTCAGTTTCCTCATCTGTGCAATGGGGCCCTGAAGACTACGTGAGATGGTCTCCTTTAAACATCCAGCACAGCATCCTGGAAATGATATGCCATGGATCTGATTCTTTTTCTAAAGATTTTATTTATTTATTTTTAGAGCGGGGAAGGGAGGGAGAAAGAGGGAGAGAAACATCAGGGTGTTTGCCTCTTGCATACCCTCAACTGGGGAACCTGGTCCCCAACCCAGGCATGTACCCTGACTGGGAATTGAACCCGAAACCCTTTGGTTCACAGACCAGCACTTAGTCCACTGAACTGCACCAACCAGGGCTGATCTTATTCTTATATTGTAAACTTCATTTTAGTTTTCGCGGCTGAGGAGCCCAGAGCAGGAAATACCCCTAGTGTAGAAAGAGCAATTTAGCGAAGGCTCAGACTCTGGTGTGTGTTACCCCTAATGCCAAGGCACGTGATTTGTTCACTTTGAGGAGCTTTACAGCACATGAAAAATGTTTTCCGGACCTGGAAGAGTCATATGTGAAATTCATACATACTTGGGAGAGCTGAACATGCCTGCTTTTATTGAGGTTTTGAATGAATGAATGAATGAAGCCGAGGGAAAGAGCTGAAAACGACGTAGGCTTCGTGGTTCTACCATTGGGCTGCAGAGCATTTTCACCAGGAACGAGATGGCAAGGGTCCGCTGACCCACTAGGAACCACATGAATTTCCAAGAAGAAGAAAGGTGTTCTCGTCAGGGAAAGACTTGGCTAATGTGTCTGCCATCTGGAAAGTCTGCGAACTTGCTTGGGACGCGCCAAGTTCTGTTGTATTCGGCACTGGTCAGAGGGAGAGGGAGGCACCGGCTTCGCCGGAGAAAGGGACAGCTGTCACTCTGACAGCATTGTGTGGGCCAGAGCTTTAGGAGAGTCTCCCTAAACCGGCGATGGTGGTTAGAGAAGATTTAATGACCAGATATTGATGGCCATTAAAAATTCAAGAAGTGTTTGCTTTGCTATAAATTCACCAAGTGCTTGTCTCGTTTTTGCCTTAGGTCTGCATGTTCCAGGAAAGGGAAGGAGCCAGACCTGCTGGGTTAGACCGAGCGTTTAAATGCCGGTGCTTAGATAAGGTCGTATGACCGGTATTTCTGAAAGGCCTGGAATCTACGCTGTGTCATTTGGAATTGACTCTGTAACAGATGGGGAGCCCATTATGGGTTTGAAGTAGACAGGGTTTGGGTTTACCCTTAAATAGGCCAGACACTGGAGGGAAGATTTCAGAGGCTTCTAGGAGGAAGAGAGATCTGCTTTTGGTGAGGGAAGGGATGAGGGAGAGAGGGCAGTTCAGGATGCGTCCAGCCTCCTGGGCGGTGGCCAATGCTCCCTAGGGCCTCAGCCCTCAAGACCTTGCTCACCAGTCGCCTGCAGCCGGTTCCACGTCCTCTCCTCCGCAGGTCTGATTAAGCTCCGCTCTCCCCAGGCTCAGTGAACGGCTCGGCCTGGGGAGTCACTGCAGTCAAGGTGACTGCAGGTTTTGTTGTCAAGCATCTCCTGTGCCTGGAGCGTCTTGCTTCCTGTTTCACAGAGCTGAGTGCGGATGGCCTGGGTGAGACAGTCGTGGGGGTGGGTGCACCCACAGTGTGATGCCTGGCACTTACCTTGTTCTGTCCTTCTGCCAGCTCAGAGAAGGGGTCTTACTCAGAACTTCATTTTGCAGCCCACCTGCTGTGGAGGGATGGAGTCAGGAGGCCCTCCGGTCGTGTGGCCCCACCTGCCCCTGCTTGGGTTTGAAATGACCCAGCCCTGAGGGGCCGAGTGGGGTCAGCGAGGTAGACATGGACTCTTTGTAGATCGCGCCCTTCCGTGCAGCGCTGATTTAAAACACGCGGCCGTATCCGCAGACACCGGCTCCATTAGAAGTTCCCCGCGCACGATGTCAGATGTCTGTAAAGGTGAACTTCGCTTACGGGAAATGTCATTCGGATGAAGTGTGCTTTCTGAAAGCATAAGGAACGGTTGCCTTAAAATTAATGATGCATTGCAAATATCAGGGAAAAAAAGACCCATCCAGTGTAAAGATGATTAAAATTCAGGTCAGAAGTCTGACTTAGTCAGGCTAAATTTTTTAATGAGATTTCAGAAAATTAATTGGGCGAATGCATTTTTATTCTTTTAACATGTAATTTTTGTGCTCCTGTTTAAAAAAAAAAAGAATTTGTCGATGGCCAAGGCTTATTTTGCTTCAAACATTTTAAACTCAAATTAGCATGGGGTTGGAGGGGGTGGTCATTTGTGGCCTAATTTGATCTGACTTGGAGAAGAAAGCCGAGTTCCTCCAAGCTTTCTGGGAGGGGGGTGTTTAAGATGCCCTCTCCCTGTACGTCCACCCGTGGCCCAAGAAGGCTGGTAGCATTTCTTGGGAGGCTGGGATTGGGGACAGAGGTGGCTCAGGGACCTGGGCCATCTCCGTGGCCCCTGGTTCTGCCCCACCCCTCCAGAGTGTTCCCAGAGGCTCCCGTTCTCTGTGAGGCATGTGGCCTCGGGGCACGGCAGGCCTCCTCCCTCTGGCCCCCTGCACCTGGCAGCAGAGCCTGGCTCAGCATCTCTGCTGCCTCCCCTTTGGAGGAGAACTAAAGGGCTCCCACCCTGGGTGCGGTGGGGAGAGGAATGAGAAGTCAGAAATGGCCTCTGGTGCCCACAGCACAGTGAGGCCAGGGGAGCGCCGTTCCTTGACAGACAGTCCCAGACGGCTGACACAGGGGACAGTGAAAGCAGAAGGCTGCAGGGCCAGCCTCACCACTTTACTGTAGCCAGGCAACATTGGGTAAATGAGTTCTCTGGGCCTCAGTTTTCCTCACCTGCGCAGTGGCGCCATGGAGACTGCGTGAGATGGTCTGCTTGAAACATCCAGCACGCATCCAACACCCTAAAATGATATGCCGTGGATCTGATTCTTATATTGTAAGACAATATAAGAACATTAAAGACAATATAAGACATTAAAACTTCTGTCCACAGTTAAAGAGCCCAGAGCTGGAAGTCCCCTCAGTGCAGACCCTCAGTGGGGACGGGGATGGGGGTGATGCTGACAGCAGTGAGGACGCCCTGCACCTGTGTCCTGGGCTGGACCCCCCCCCCCAGCCGGGGGCTGCACGCACTGTGTGCAGGCGCGGCTCGTCCCGGCCCCCAGGGAGCAAGGGCTGCCGTTGTGCAGACACTCCGCCGTGCCAAGACCTGTAACAGTCCTAACACCCAGCGTTCCCTGTGTGCCAAGTGTTTTTGTTTATTAACTTACCGAACCCCCTGGCAACTCTGAGCGGGGTACTGTCGCTACCGCAGTTGCATAGATAAGGAAACTGAGGCCTGAGGCCCATAGCCAGGAAGCGGCAGGATGTGAACTTGAACCCAAGATCTGGGCACCAGCGTCAGTGTCTCAGCCTCTCTGCCAACCTGTGCCCTTGCAATTGTGTTTCTTTTCCCCAGGAGTGAGCACAGGGTCCCAGACCTAAAGGGGATGGTAAGCCTTAGATGAACAGTTTTCAGAAAGGCCATCGGGGTGATTACTGTGAGCCCCCGTGCGGTGCGCTGTCAGGGGCCAGCCGGGGTCTGTCCAGCAGGGGAGCGCTCCTGGGAGCCCCGTCCCGAACATCGCCTTCTGGGGCGCCCAGGGAGTCCTGGGGCTGGTGATCTATGTTCAGGGTACAATGGCCTCACTTGGAGGCAGGGGAGAGAGTGGAACTTGTGAGGGCTGGCCCATTACTGAGGATGGCCTTGGAGGTGGTGACAGAGAGGCCTGGCCTTCTGGGGCAAGAACCCAGCTCGTCTTCTCCTTTTCCACTCACAGCCCCTGAGTTAAATCGGGGTCAGGGCTCTGCTGGCTCAGGTGGCTGCACCCACGGGCCCTGTGTCTTGCAGCGCCCCCACCTGAGCAGAGGATTCCCCGGGAGGACCCCATCCCAACCCCTTCCAGGTATTTTCACCGCTGGGTGCTGCTGCCTGAGTAACCTGCCCCACCACAGGGAGCTCATTCCTCTAATTAGGTCAAATGGGTTGTGACAGGAAATGCAAATCTGGGTCATCGCATATGCAGATGTGCAGCTGGAGTGTCAGCGATGCCGGCTGGGATGTCACCCTCGTCCTCTGGGAATTTCTGGAGGCCTTGGAGTGAGCAGCCTGGCCTCCAGGGCTCGTCCCTGGGCTGGGTGGAGAGTGCTGGTGACTCCAGCCACTCACCCCGGAGAGAAGCAGCCCAGGGTTCCCAGAGCAAGGACCCTTGGAAATCACATCCTTCGGACACCTCAAGTCCCAGGGGGAAACTGAGGTCCAGAGAGGAGAGGGGCGCTGCCCCGTGTCACCCAGCTGGCTCCAGATCGGCAGGCTGTTGAAGTCCCAGCTCCCCACTGACTCGCTGTATGACCGGCCTCCCTTTCCTTGTTTATAAAGTAGGATTAATAAGCCTTTCTCGATTTACAAGGCTGTTAGAAGATTTAAGCCATACAGTCTGTCTGAGCAGCCAGCACAGCACCTGACACACAGTAGGACCCACTACACGACAGCACGCCATTATTTTCATGGGGACGCGTGGTTCCTCCAGGTGCTGAGAACGTTGCCTTTTTTGCGGGTGTGTAATTTCGGCTGCACTCACAGAAGTGATAGTGAACGGGTCACAAAGTCTCTCGTGCACCAGGCTGTCCTGAGCACGTTCCACTGTGTCATTGGACAAACAGGCCCCAGCACTTGCTCTGAGCAGGTCAGAGCCTCAGCTCAGGGGACATGGAGGGGACTGAGACAGGAGCCCACTTTCGGAGAGGCCCATGTGGGGGGTGGTCAGTGAGAGGCAGACAGGACCTAGCAAAGAGGCTGGTGATCAGATAAAGGGGGTGGAGGAAGGGCCGTGGAGGAAGCCAGCAGCCTCGGGTTCTCATCTGCAGACTGGGGTCATTGTGGGAATGGCAGAGCATGGCAGGTGAGGGGGCCGATGGAGGCTCCGGCAGTGGGATTGGCGATCACAGTCCCTCCTTCACCTTAGAACGGTGCTGGGAGCAGGCAGCTGCCTCCACTTCGGCCTGGCTGGACACTGATGCCCTCTGTCTGTCCCCTCCAGAAGCACCTGAACGCCCTGTCTTTTCGCTGCTCACTGGCAGACTTCCAGATCGAGAAGAAGATCGGCCGAGGGCAGTTCAGCGAGGTATACAAGGCCACCTGCCTGCTGGACAGGAGGACGGTGGCTCTGAAGAAGGTGCAGGTGAGCCAGCGACCCCATGGGGTCGAAGCTGTATTGCAGGAGCTGATCACTGTGTCTGAACACTGGAGCGCTGGGCCGGTCCCTCCTTCCCCACCTTCCCTGCCCTTCCTCTGTAAGTGAGCTCACCGGGCTTCAGAGAGAGTCAGGTGGACTCCTGAAAGCTCAGTGTGAGCCGTAAAGGGAAAAATGGGTGTGCAGTGGGCACCTGCTGTGTCCAGTGCACTGGGTCCATTGAGGGGCTCATGAAACCTTGATGGCAGCCCTGTGGGTGGGGATTAGCATCCCATTTTTCAGATGAGGAAACCAGTGCAGAGCTGGGAATACCTCACTGGGGCCATAGAAGGAGCCAAGTGCCGCCGACCCTTTTGCCTGCACTGCCGGTCCGTTCTGGACTTGAGTGTCCTCCCTGACCTCTGTGTCTCTCCTAAGTGGCAGCAGGGAGTCAAGCAGACGGTTTTAAGCAGCATTTCCGTGAGAGCCACTGGGCCCGTTGGAATGCGGCTTTGCTGCAGGAAATGGTTTTAAATCCTCCAGCAGAGCTTCCCGAATCTCTCAACGAAATCAGCAGCCTGGGCCAAAGAGGCCCAGGAGAGAAAAGGCAACTGAGATGCAGTCTCAGGCAAAGAACTGCAGCTGGAAGATCGTAGCATCCCCGTATTCTTGTTGGTCTAGGACTCGCACTCGGCTCCAGGTTGCGGGAGGCCAGACAGATGGGTGCCTCTGTTCGGAGAAGGCCCGCCCTCTGCCCTTCCTCTTCCAAGGAGGGACTCATCTGGGCTCTCTGTCTTGGTTCATTTGTGCCAGAACAGGTTTTGTGGTGAGGCTGCTGGCCTGTCCACCCTCTGTTTGTCCTTTAAGTCAGAAGGTGCTGGGAGGATGCACCCAGAGTGAGCACTGGAGGATGGGGGGGCAGGAGAGGTCAAGGTGCCAGGGGCTGTACCCCCTATTCTCTGTCTAGCTTGGGGTATTGGTCTCATATATGGAAGGGAAGACTGAGGCTCTGAGTGTGTCTCCTGGCCGCCACTTCTCAGTGTGTGACCTCACCGAGTCACTGGACTTCTCTGTAAGTCGGTGACAGTAATTCCTGCCTGGTAGGGGTCAGCTTGAAGCAGGCAGCATGGCGCTGGCACCTGGTGGGAGCCCACTAAGCAGAACTGTTGTCCTTACGGGGTAGGGTTTCTCCCCAAGGAGGTGGATGAACCGGAACGCGGGTGCTGGGTTTTAAACCAACCTATTGTCTACAGCCATACCACCCTGAGCATGCCTGATCTCGTCTAAACCTCTGTTTCTCTTTTTCCTCTTGCCCAAGATATTCGAGATGATGGATGCCAAGGCCAGGCAGGACTGCGTCAAGGAGATCGGCCTCCTGAAGGTGAGTGCCCTGCACAGGACAGACCCCTCTGCGGACTTGGGCTGGCTGGTGCGGGTGCATAAGGGGCAGACGTGCCGGGGCTCGTCCAGCGTGAGGCACGCAGGGTGGGAGCGTGGGGGCATCTGTGGTCCTTGCTGGCTTCCCCACAGTCAGAGATTGTGGCACATTCTGGCCTGGACTTGGCCCTGGCCTGGGGCTGCTCTTTCCCGGGCATCCCTGCCTACTCCCCAGACCTAGGGTTCTGCTGGGATCTCAGAAGTGATGGGGGGACGAGAAAAGGCGCGGGCTTCGGAGGCCCAGGAACCTGGGTTCAAATCCCAGTGTCCTCATATATGAGCTGTGTGACTTTAAGCAAGTGATTTAACCTCCCTGAGCCTTAGTTGGCCCATCTGCTCGACAGTGAGCGCGCCCGCCTCACAGGACGTAGGCAGATTGAGAGGATTAAATACAATGATATTGAAGGGGGCCTGGTGCAGTAGAGCACACAGCAGGTGCTTGCTCGGTGTCTTCCTCCCGTCCCGTGAGACAGGAGAGCTTGCCTGGTAGTGGGGCTGCTGATGGCAGTGACACCCTTCGAGGTCACAGCTGTGGAATTTCAGATGAGCAGTTAGTTCCTCTGCTGGGCCCTGCCCTGGGCTCCCAGGCCTGCGTCCCGTCCCTGGGGACTCCTAGGCAGGCAGCAGGCGGTGGCCATGCAGGACCTGGGAGGCTGAGAAGAATGAATGAGCCTGCTGCAGGGACCCCAACAATCCGGATTGAGGGGGCCAATCGTGGTGGCCTCGATCCCACAGTCAGGACTTAAATGTGGCACCAGTGGGTCGCGGTGACAGAGCTGGAGCAGAGAGGCTTTTAGGCATTTGTCCTTAACTATTGCAGGTCCAAAATACCCTTCAAATAACACTTTAAAATATTATGTGATGGTCAGCATTGGAGCCCTGTTGTGATCTGGGGACTCTGCCTGATTATCCAGCCCCGGGGAATAGCTGTCCTAATCACCCACCTTGTGGCCAAGAACACATGTGTGCTGTCCCCATGGAGTAAGGAATTGTACATGTGTGTGGACTGAGCCAGTGTGTTGCAGGTCCCGGGTGCAGAAACATGTGAGCACAGCCCCTTCAAGGAAGCAGGCCTGGGGCGGTGCGGACAGGACAGGACAGGCTGGCTGGGGAGGAAGCTCCGTCCCTTCCCCAGGTGGGGCAGCTGAGAACCAATCACCTTGGGCTTTGCAGGTGGGCACACCCCTTGCTCACCGGCTGTGGCCTAGGGCAAGCTGTTGACTGTCGGGGCCTGTCTCCTCATCTGTACAATGGGGCAATGACAGCAGTGCCGTCTTCAGGGTGCGGCAGAGTTGGGGAGGCCGTGCCTGGGGGAGCTTAGCATCAACGCCTGCTAGGGGCTCAGCCAGGGGCAGCCCTAGTGGTCACGGCAGGGCAGCCCCAGCTCCCAGAAAGACGTCAACAGGATGTGCTGGGGCAGGAGGCATTTCCTTCAAAACAAAGGGAAACTTAGTTCTCAGGCCACCAGGCAACGTCGTTCATATCATTCATGCCGGGACCCGAAAGCCAGACCTCCCCGTGCAGCGACTGCCAGGCACAGGGCAGGGAGGCGGGCAGTGTTGGGACGCAGGCATGGGTCCGTGTATTCGTGTGCTCAGCACGGCTTCTGAGCATCACTGTGTGCGAGACACAGCCGTGAGGGGAATGCAGATATTCGAAGGAGAGGGAACCTTACATTGACTGGCCCTGTACTCTCAGCTCTGCCTTCCGTCCTTCTCTGAGGCCAGTGTCCATCCCTCAGCAGCCACCACTGCAGCCAGGCCTGGCCTGGGGCCTCAGGGACAACCCCACCCCAATGAAGAGTCCTGGGTGGTGGCGAGGAAGAGGAGGAGGAGGAAGAAAATGATCATTTCCATAAGCATCCTTTGAGTCTTAGCTCCGTGCAGTTACTCTGTTAGACATTTCAAGGGTATGATTCCATCTGATCTTCACAGCATTATGCCCATATTACAGATGAGGAAACTGAGGTTCAGAGATGCAAAATGGCTTTCCTCATGTTGCCAGCTCTGCCTGACTCCTGAGCACAGGCCTTTTCTATAAGACATTTACCTCCAGCGAAGGCCGGGGCCCCATTAGCTGGTGCCAGCTGGGTGCCAGCTCTCATGGACTCTGCCTTCCTCTCTCTCTCTCCTGGGGCAGCAACTGAACCATCCGAACATCATCAAGTACTTGGACTCGTTTATTGAGGACAACGAGCTGAACATCGTGCTGGAGCTGGCTGATGCGGGCGACCTCTCACAGATGATCAAGGTGGGGGCGCCTGGTGGGTAGGCAGGGCCTGGGAGCGGCCCGGGGTCAGGGGGCCCCTCCTCTGCTCTCTGGGACATTCAGCCCTCCTTGCTGATGCCCACAGGCCTCAGCCGTGGCCCGGAGAGTGCCCTTTGAGGCCCCGACCGACTGCAGCTGCTGTGAGAGGACCAGCCGTAGGCAGGGAGGACCCCTCTAGGCCACCCGCTGTCCCAGCCTGCCACAGGCTCATGGCCACTTCCCCTGCCTTACAGAAGGGGCCGCACAGAACCCTGCATTAGGTCCGGTGCCACCAACTCACGGGATCTGGGAAACGGTCTTGTGGGTCTAGTGGCTTCATTTTATAGAAGAAAAAACTAAGCCCAGAGAGGTTAAGAGACTTTCCTGAGGATACCCAGCAATGTGGGGACAGAGCCTGGTCTGTGGCCCAGGTGTCTGTTTTGAGGCCCGGGACCCTCCAGTGGACATGGTCCGAAAGTTGGTTTCCCTGAGGCCTCTCCAGCCCCTAGGGGCATCTTCATTCCCACGTAATGTCCAAGGCCAGGAGTGTCTGAGCAGTTGACTGACTTGCCAAGTTCTCACGAGCAGGCTTGGTGCCCAGCCTGGCTCTTAGCCTGCATTCCATAGCAGCCCCCACACTACCCTGCCCCGCCCCCTCACCCCACCTTCTGGGGCCCGGGCCCAGGCCCAGGCCCACCGTGAGTCTGGAATCAGGGACCATTGCAGCTCCACTAATGGAGCACCTGCTATGGGCTGCAACCGTGCTGACCACCAGCATCACTCACCGAGTCCACACTGTCTTCAGACAGCAAAGTTCAGAGAGGTTTAGCCTCCTCCCTGAGGCAGCACAGCCTCTCAGAGGGACCCCGCGGCGGGCTCCCTGCTTCTCCCTCAGGGCCTTCGCTGCACTACTGGCTTGACCGGAGTGTGCAGGCTGTCGCGGGTCTCCATCGCCTCCCTCCCCCAGGCCCAGTCCGTCTGCCCCTGACTGGGGCCAGGCCGGCCCAAACCCCCGCCCAGCTCCCAGCCGCACTGGCGTGTGGAGCCAGACGTGAATTCTCTGTCTTTCCCACCAGGCACCGGGGATCGAGCAATTGCCCGGCACTTGCTCTTCTGAAATTCGGCTCCTAGGAATACTGGCGTCGCTGCGAAGCGGCATTACTTGAGCTGTTATCACCTGCTTTTATATTTCCGTTGACATATTAATGTGTGTTGCAGGGATGTTAATCTCCGCACAGGTCCCTGGTGGGAACAGATGTGCTATATCATGTCTTAGTTCTTCCTTCTCCACCCCCTCCGCACTGTTTCTCCTTGAACACGCAGGCACCCGGCACCCACTGTGTGCCGGGCCGTCCTGAGACCCAGGGGTGCTGCCAGCCTGGGCGCTTCCCTCAGGGAGTTTGTCTTCTAACTGTGGGGTCGGGGGATGCAGAGCTGTGGACAGTCAGTCACGAACCAGTGAGAATAAGCCCAGTGCAGGGCCTGCGAGCCAGGAAAGGCTTCCTGGAGGAGGTGACACCTGAGCCCACCTGAGGGGAGGCCTGAAGTCTAGTGTCAAAGCAGTTTGTATGAGAGCCCAGAGGGATGAAAAACTGAGGGGCCCAGGAAGCACTTTGGTCCAGGGGAACCATGTGTGATGGGGGGCAAAGGAGAGGCATTGGCTCACCCAGGGCCTCGTGGTCCAGGCTCAGGATTTGAGACCCCACCCTGAGGTTGTTGAGAAGCTGCCTGAGACTCATGGTGGCAGTAAACATGGTCAGCTTTGTGTCCCAGAAGAAAGCCTGGGTGGGGGACAGGAGTGGGAGCGGAGATGACAGAGAAGATGTCCTGGACTGTGCACCATACATACCGCCAGCCCCAGGAGACCCCAGGCCCCTGGGAACCCCTCAGTCCATGGAGTGGGGCTGGAGTCAGACAGTCGGGGGGCAGGGATGATGGGCAAATCAGATCTCTGTTCCTTGAACCGCAGTTTCCATCCCTGTCCTGAGGGGTGCGTGGGAGGGCACTGTGGGAGCCAGAGGCTGCTGGCCCACGCTGCGTCCCCAGGCGCCCAAATTCAGGGGCCGAGAATCATGGCCACAGTGCCAGCAGGATTCGCAGCGGATGCTGCAGCCGGGAACGGTCGCCACCCTGAAACCCACCAGAGACTCGGTGTCTTCCCGCTAAATGTCACACGGCACTTATAGGACGTGACATTTAGAAAATCACCACTCGCAGCCTTGCATTTCCCACTTAAATGCTGTAATGAGGATTAACTAACATTGGCACATAAATAACAGTCCAGCCCAGCCCAACTCACAAGCCTGGGGTGGCCCCAGGGGAAGGGGGAGTCCTGTGCCGGGAGCCAGGGGCAGCTCCCCCTTGAGGCCCCCTCCCCGAGACTGGAGCCTCACTGGACTTTAGGGCCAGGCCAGGGGCTCCCGGCTGTGACTGTCCACTATTGGAGGTGCCCAGATCCTGTCCCAGCTCTGCTGGGTGATCGGGCAGGTTCCTGAACATCTCTCAGTGCTGCCCCTCATCATGTGGTGACATCATCAGAAGCGGGTTGTGAGCTGGGGCTTCCTGGTCAGGAGGCCCGGGCTTGCACTGTCTCCACCACGTACCAGCTACACTGTTTCTGGGTCGGTGAGGTGGGCGCAGTCATCCCTGCCCAGGGCCCTGCTGGGCGGGGGCCGGCCGGCTCATCACGTCCTGTCCTCCACCCCACGTCCCCTTTCCCAGGCCCAGAGCGTGACCCAAGTCAGTCCCCACCTTCTCTGAGCCATTGAGGCTGCCCTGAGGGAGGGGCCCAGGGCTTTGCCTCCCGTTGCTTTGGGAAAAGATGGGTGCTCTCAAGCCAAAAGCCCCCGAACAAAACCCTGGGACATGGGTTATTGGTGTGTGCACCATTGCCACCACCCCACCCCCATTCCAGCCTGGCTCACGGGAGACAGGAGACCCCCCGGGACTGGGGTGGGAATGGGTGTGGATCTGAGCTGGGGACAGGACACGCTCTCAGTTTACTCCTTCCAGGACCTTCTGGCTCCTTACAGCTCACGCTGTGCAGCCTGGGTGGTTGTTTTGGTTTTTTTATTTTGTTTTCTGGAGCAGTAAATATATTTTTTCAGGCAGTGAAGTAGGTGAATTGAAACCGGGGGTCCAGCTGAGGATGTTGGGCCAATTTCCTTGAAGTTCTTGCTGTGTCCGTGACCGATCATGTGGGCTGGGGTTCGCCAGCTCTGGGGAAGCAGGGCAGCTGTGTCTTAATCACCTAGCGTGTCTCAGATGTCCCCAGGCTGGGCCAGGCTGTGGCGTGGGGCAGAGAGAGGCCACGCCAGTCCACCCCATTGGGCAGCGGGAGGACATAGATGAGTGTCCAGGAGGTTCCAGAAAAAGCGTGATTGAGAGCAGACTTCAGGATGAGGTCCAGGGCTCCATTCGGCAAAGCCATGGGGACACGCACTCTGGGCCAGGCCTGCCCTACCCTCGGGAGCTCACCCTGGACGGAGGGTGGACGGAGGACCTCGGAGGGCGATCGGGGCCTAAGCAGAGATGCAAACGCAGCGCCCACGCCTCCCAGGCCAGGTGCTGCCCTCCCTGCCTCTCAGCTCCTCACCCAGGCCTGTCCATCTGTCTGTCTCCCCCACGGCAGTACTTCAAGAAGCAGCAGCGGCTGATCCCCGAGAGGACGGTGTGGAAGTACTTCGTGCAGCTGTGCAGCGCCGTGGAGCACATGCACTCCCGTCGGGTGATGCACCGAGGTGCGTGTGCGCCGCCCTCCTGGCCCCTCAGGACATCCCCGGGGCTGTTCCCCAGACCAGTGGGTGTCTCGGGTCTGGTCCGTCCTTAGCAGGGTCAGCAAGTGGGCACAGCTCTGGGCAGCACTGCACCCATGCACCTCCTGCCTTGTGCCTGGGCCTCCCCCTGGCGGGTTGTCCGAAAAGCCAGATAGTCACGTGGGCCCCAGAGAACAGGGGCCATGCTCCGTGTACCATCGCCAGCCCCCAGAGCCGGCCAGGGGCCGGCACGGAGCGGGTCACAGCAAGGATGGGTGGAGGGGCTGGCTGGCCAGGGGCAGAGGAAATGAGATGCCAACAAAGGATGTTTCCAGAAGTTGACATCATCCCGGGTTGTGGGGAAGATGCCTTCTGGGCGCCAGGAAGGGTGCTGGGTGCTTTACATGGGCCACTTCGCTGATTCCTCTGCTCGGTGGTTCCACCCACATCCACCAGTCTGCTGTGTGCCAGGCGCAGCTCACGTCGCTCGTCAGTAAATCCTCAGACGGCCTGCTCTGTGCCAGACACTGTTCTAGGCACAGGGATGCAGCCGTTCAAAAGGGACAACAGTGCAGAGCTCCCTGCCCTTCCAGACCCCACGCAGCCCGGAGATGCAGGAGGAGTTAGACCCATTTGTAGGTGGGGAAAGTGCTCTGTGGGGGGCAGGACTGGAGGCTGGGTCCCCCACCACCTGAGGGACTCTGCCTCCCTCCATCCCTCTGATGCCACACCGCCCCCCTCCTGCTTCCCCGCAGACATCAAGCCCGCCAACGTGTTCATCACGGCCACGGGCATCGTGAAGCTCGGTGACCTCGGCCTGGGCCGCTTCTTCAGCTCCGAGACGACCGCGGCCCACTCCCTGGGTAAGGGGGCCTGTCTGCGCTCCAACAGCCCCAGTTGGGGGGGGGGGCGGGGGAACACAAACAGTCTCCCCACTAGCCTTTGGTGAGTGAGTGTGGGAAATGCCTTTAGAGCCCAAACTCTGCTCGCCTCTTTAGAACGGTGACTTGGAGTAAAACGAGCCTCAAAGGGTCCTGGTTGGGGCTTCCCTGTGTCCTTGGGCCACCTGGCCCCTTCCAGGGGAGGGTGCCCGGGCCCTGTCCCTGCACGAGGTGGTCGTTCCAGCTTTCTCGCTGCTGCGCAGTGACCCACCTGTGGCTGTGCCACGCTAGGCTGTTCCTCCTGCTGGGGAACATTTGAGCAACGTCTAGCTTCTGTCTTCTAAACAGGCAGTTTTGAAGCTGTGGGGGCCGAGTGCTCCCAGGAGGAGGTGGCCGTGTGGCTGGACTGTGAGGAGTGAATGGGAGCTGGTGGGGCAGCAAGGGGGGAACTGGGGGGGGGCTGGAGAGCCAGGTTCCCAGGACCTCAGGGGGCAAGGAAGGCTGCAGGGCCCCGAATGCCGAACTCAGTGGGCAGGCGTCATCCCAGGAGTGCGGGAGCACCGAGGGCTTGTGGGGGGAGAGACTGCACCAGGTGTGTGTTTCAGGTCACGCGAGGCAATGTTGGGCTTCAGAACCCACGTGCCGACTGCATGACTGATGGAAAACTGGGAACAATGGACAAGAGACTTTTACGTTGTTTGACTAGAATAGAGTAGCCAGCAAAGCCGCCCAGGGGAACACAGACATAGGACCCCCTGTGCATTGCAGCAAGCGAATCAGCAGTTCACCAGGGCACATGGAACATTTCAGAGGTGGGCGGGGCATCCCCCTTTCCCGGAGCCCTCCCGGCTCTTTGGGGCGGTATTTTCAGGGGAGGGGAAGGTGCTTGCAGGCTCCCCTCCCTGTGAGCCTGTGAACACCTCTGTCGAAAACCACTGGGTTCTCCGCCCCACTCCTCGGCCCCAGCCAGGGTCTCCCATCCTCTGATCCCGAGTGCCTGCGGCATACGGTGCATCCATACGGCATCTGGTGACAGTGGGGGCGCTTTCTGGAAGACACTCTTTCCCAGGGGAAACTGTCACTGTGCATCCAGGCCCTGCTGGCTCAGAGGCCCTCAGAGCACAGCACACCGTCAGGAAAAAGTGCTGGCGCTCAGGATCGACAGCTCTGAGCTGTTTGTAATGAGTATAAGCATGTGAGCATGAGTGTGTTCGCATATGTGTGCTTGTCAGTGCCTGTGAGTGTATGTGTGAACGCATGCACATGTGAGTGTGTGTGTGTGTGTGTGTGTGTGTGTGTAGTTGTTGTGAAGCTCTCCGCCCCATCTGACCCTGGAGGACACCTGGCACGTTGCTGGTCTTCTGTTAGCTCGAGAGGAAAGCGTTGCCATCCCACGGGTTCCCACCACTTTGTTCTCGCCTCCAGTAGCCAACGAGGAGCCTGAGAGCCAGGGAGCCGCAGTAGCTCCTCCGAGTCCCCACACTGCCTCTGCCTGGCTCAGGAGCCTTAGGAGGTGGTGCTGGGTTTTCCGCCTGAGCTCGGCCACCCACTCGCTCCTGGGGGACACCTTGTCTTTCCTGGTCCCCTGAGACCTTTTCTTTGTGCAGATCAGTCTGTCAGTGTTGGACTGTTCACCTCTCTGGTTGAAGAGCTTCCGAAGGGCCAGAAACTCAAGGCAAGCTGTCCAAGGGAAGAGTTAAAGCCACGGCCCCCTGTCCCCTGTCAGCCAGGCCCGGCCCTCCTCCGTCCCACTGGGGTAGTTGGGGGGGTGGGCAGGGGCTGTGGCGCTCGTCAGAGCCAGTTAGGATCACTTTGTTAGGAATGGGCAGGATAAGGGCTCAGCCGACAGTGCCGGTCTATCGACGTGACTGCTGCACTTATTGTACTAATGAGAGGGAACTAGAACGTGGGGACGCACCGTGCCTGTGTGCCAGGCTCTTCCCGAGGCCTCCAGTGGGTGGCTGATGGGGCGTGGTGGGTGGACGGGCCCCTCCTGGGGTCTCAGTCCCAGAACAGAGGGTTACAGCACAGAGCCAAAGTGCAGGACCCGAAGTCTCCAGGACTCAGGAGAAAGACCCCCTTTCCACAGCGAGATTCTGCAAGCAGCTGGCAGAGTCTCGCACACACAGCTGGGGAGGGATTGAAGTTACTGCCACTGGATCGTGACTCCGGACAAACGCTGGGGGTGCGGGGCTCCTTTTCACCTGTGCATGGTGTGAATTACGCATCTGTGCACACCTACTATGTGGGGCTGCTGTGGTGGCAGCCACGTTGCCCCGGCAACCACCTCCTCTCCAGGGCTGCTGCCCCACTGGCAGTGCCGCTCAGATCCCCTCTCCCCTGGCCCCTCCCTGCCTCCGTGTTTGCTAACACGAGGCTGGCATGAAAGGGCATTAGTCATGCCATGGCCCGGCTGACAGGTGCGGTACCCAGCGGTGGCAGAGCGGCTGCCTTGGTGTCAGGCACAGGAGCCGTAATTAGAGCGAGGAGCGGAATGAGCGTCAGACGGATTACCAGGCAGCAGATCATATTTGTCAGGAAGGATTGCATACATAAAAATTAAGTGACAGTACACGCCGGCGTAATGAAAGGAAAATGAAAGATTTGCCTATACACAGCGCACAAGCTACAAGCAAGCAAGCGTCGCGCTCCGAGCAGCGGCAGCAGCTGCAAGACAAATTGTGGGGCCGGGAGAGCAGGCCTGCGTCTCTGCAGCGGTGACAGGCAGGGCGGCCTGCGGCGGGGTCGGGGCCGGAGGGAGGCCGGCTCACACCCCACCTCTCTGTCCCTCCCTCAGGTAGAGGGGTCAGGCCCCAGCCCCCGGCCTGGCCGCAGGGCGTCCATTCCTTCCTTCTCCCTTCCCTGGCCTGAGTACAGAGGACGTGAGATTAGGCAGCCTTCCCGCTTTCAGGGGGCCCCCACACTGGTGGGCATGGAGACAGTGGACCCGCCTCCTGAAAGCCCACTGTGTGCAGGCGCAGTGCTGAGCTCCTCAAAGGAACGGGGGCCGTGGGGCTGCCCCAGCCCCTCCCAGGGCTGCCCTGTATTTTAGCTTCTGTAGTCAGTGACCTCACCAAAGAGGTGAATTAACAAAGAAGGCACAGCTTAAAGCAAAGCTGAAAAGCATTTTACTTTTGAAAAATCATCCCACCGAGGCTTATTGTTTCCACTGGACAGATGAGGAAACCGAGGCTGCGAAGGGAGTGGGCACTGCGGCCCTTGGGCCGTGCTGGCTCCTCTCCAAACACAGGCCTGCGTGCTGGGAAGTGCGCTTGCATCCCGTTGAGCTCGCTCGGTGCAGGAATGCCCGGGGCACCTACTGCCCGGCCACTGGTGGGGAAGCCCATCCAGCCTCACAGCTGTGGGCTGTGTGGGACCTGGGGCTTGTCCTGGGCCGGGGCCGCGGGTCAGGGCCTCCTGTCCTTGTGAGTGCCAGCACTCCCATGAGTGTGCCCTTGCCTGGCACCGGGGGGACCCCGTGGAACATTTGCCGAGTGGACCCATGGTCCCCACAGCCAGGCATCTGCCAGGGCTTCCTTGCACCCACCCCAGCAGCCCAGGACATCTGGGCACAGTTGGTCCTGAAAACTGGTTTCAGCGAGTGCATCCCAGGTTCTGAGTGCTGACACCTGGGTAGGAGGTCAGGGATGGTCACACGTGTCCAGCCAGTGGTGCCTGCCTCTTCTGCCTCGTCCCTGGCATTTTTAGGAACACACTGGTAGAATGAGACTGGCAGATTCCAGAGAGAGGAGGGGAGGGTCTCAAGGGGACAGCAAGTGAAGAATTGGCCAGGCCTAGGATGCAGACTGCAGCTTGTCTGTTTGGTTATTCATTTGCTCAGGGAGGATTCGTGCCAGGCCCCGACCAAGGCCCCGTCCTCTGGGGCTTACAGCCTGGGGATGGGGATTCATTAGAGTCTTCCCCCAGAACCCAGCACCGTTCCAATAGTTACACCCCAGGTGTTGCCTCGAATGGCACCCCAGGGCCCCAGGGTGCGGGTCGCCACAGAGCCGGCAATCAGGTGAAGAAGTCCAGGTGCAGTGAGGTGAGCACCTTTGCATTGCAGGTGTGGGGGAAGAGGTGGGGGCGAAGCGGGGCCACACCTCAGTTCTGCATCCGAGAGGCCCTGTGTGAGCCCTGAGACCTGGAAACACGGAGTGCTGTGTAGAGTTGGAGACTTGAACCCCCGACCTTCACATCAGTTTGGGAAACTCGGTGTGGGAACAAGAAGCAGATATTTGTACGAGTGTAAACGATCGGAAATTGAGTCAATGCTGATAAAAGTACGATATTTTTCCAAGGTCGCCGCTTCTCCTGAGGGCTATGTGCCGGTCGTCTTGGGGTTGTCTGGTAATGAATTTAAGGACTCAATTGTAAGCGGCGACACCAGCAAGCCTGCCTGGCAGGTGTGTGTGTGTGTGCGCGCGTGTTACTAACCAAGGACTCAGCATTGCCGGGAGCAGGGACAGTCTGGGACAGCCGCAGGTGCCAGGCTGAGGACCTGACCGTCCTCCTCTGGGTGGTGTGGAGCCAGCCAGGCATGGGGGCACAGTCCCTGCCTTGGTGGGTAGGGTGGGTGGGAATGGCGGGACAGGAGAGGCCAGGCCAGTCGGTTGTCCAGGCGAATGAGGGCAGCAGGTGCGGGACGGAGGAGAAGGGGAAGCCTCAGAGTGGGGGGCCCGGTTGGATGTCCGGGGTGGGTCACAGAGTGACCACAGTCCAGCTCACACTGCCCAACACCAAGGAAGCTGCTCTTGGGGTCCCAGAACCTCCTTGGTCACCCTGCCCTCCACCACCCTGTCTCTCCCAGGGTCTGTGGGCGGCCAGGCCTTCCTGGAGCCTTTCAACCTGCAAAGGTTATTCTGTCCCCATTTCACCGATGGGGAGACCAAGGCTAAGAGAGCATTCAGTTCCCTGCTGGTGAGAGGCTGACACTGGTCAGGTCCCCGGGGTGTGGCTCCCAAGCCGCCCTCCCCCCACCTATGCCGTCCAGTCCCAACTGGCCCGTGGGTGCTGGTGACACCGAGTCTCTCCAGCCACTTCCAGCAGCACCGTGTGGGGAAGGGAGTGCAGGCTGTATCCTTCATGTGAAATCTTTGCCGTTTCCATAGCTGATGAACATGTTTCAAACACCGTGAGCATTTCAAACCAAAGCCAAGATTGTTTTGACAGGAACGGCGCATCTCGGGGACGTGGGGCCTTTAATCAGCCTCCGCTTTGAGGCCCCAGTTCTCCTCTGATATCTGCGGGGTTTGAAATCCGGGCGTTCTAGGTAAAGATGCAGGGTGGTCAGGGTGTCTTAGGCTCCTCTTTCATAAGCAGTGCTCAGGCCCCCACTGTGAGGAGGGAGAGTGGCGGCAGCTGAGCTGGCTGATCTGACGGGAGGGAATTTGAGGCCGCAGTGGCTCGCTCTGGCTGCCCCTCGGCCTGTCCAAGTGCCCACAGAGGACCCCCCGGGGCAGGACGAGGCCTTCAGGGCACTTCCCCTTGCCAGCTTCTCCCACTGTTTCCCAGAATCACATGCTCCAGGGCCTGCTCCAAGCTTGGAACCTCTTTGAAGTCACTCATCTTATTTTGAAAACTCACGCAAGTTGCGCATTATGCGTCAGAATGTTCGAGGACTTGTCAGTATAAAAGTCAGGTTTTACAGACTTTGTCCCAGGGGACGCTGGCAAAACAGGAGGTGCTGTGTTCACTGCCTGCAGCTTTAAGACTCACAGACCAAGGCGGAGCAGGCCCTCCCCTGGGCCAAGGGACTGGAGGATCTGCCCCAGTGCCCAGCAGGGCCAGCCCAAACTGCCCTCGGCTAACACGTCATAAGTTCGTTTGTTCCACAGATGTTTCCGAGCATCTGAAGGGCTGGAGGGTGGGGAGTCTCAGTGCATTCGGGTACCAGATCTCCCCAGAGCCCATGAGAGATGTAGGCGTTCTGGGCTCGGCCCTGGTGATTCTGATCCCACAGGTCTGGGCTGCGGCGGGGAGTTTCAGTGAGCTCCTTCAGGGGATTCGGCTGCAGCCACTGGTCAATCCAGCCTTTCCTTGATCCACTGGCTCCTTCTGGACAGTTCCTGGGATGGGCAGCTCACTACCTGTCGACGGGCTCACTCCTGGGAAAGCCCAGCACCACATCCGAGCTCAGTTACCCTCGGGTACAGATGGGTCAGCGGGCCGACGATGGGTGGGTAGATGAGCGATGATGGATGGACAGTCATGGGGAGGGGCATGGACAGACGGACTGTTGAATGGACGGACAGATCAGCAGGTGGTGGGTGGGTAGATGATGGATGGACAGACAGAGGATGGGTGTCTGGTTCGATGGCGCCCGCAGCACTGGCGTCTAGAGGAAGGTCCAGATGACATTTGGGTGTTTGCCTTTTGTCCGTCCCACCAGTGGAGGGTGCGGTAAGAGCAGAAAGAGCAGCGAAGAGGTGGATGGGGTGGAGATTCGAGGGAAGGGGCGGTGTGCTCCTCAGCCTCTCTGTCCCGTGGGCCCAAGGCTTCCCCACAAGCGGTGCTGAGGTAGGGGCCAGAGCCCCGGCAGAGGGAAAAAGGGGTGACAGAACAGAGGCACAGACCGGATGTCCACACTGAGCTGGCTCTCACTGGCCGGAGGGAGGGGCAGTTCAACTGGACCACAAAGGGGCTCACCAGGGGCACAGGGAACAGCATGTGCAAAGGCACAGAGGCGAGTGGAAGAGTAGACTGAGGTTGGGGCTGGGGGCAGGGCCGGTGTAGGGGGACTCGAACAGGGGCCAGGCACTCAAAGCCTTCGCTTTCAGGACCTGGCCACTGTGCAGGCCCTCCCTCCCAGAGTCCCTCCCAGAGGCCCAGGCAGATCTCAAGTGAGCAGAGGACAAGACCGCAGGGTGGCAAGAGTGTCAGGGCTGGCCCACACTCGCAGCCAGGAAGGGGCTTGGCCACGGGTCTTAGGGTGCAGTGCCACCGGACAGTGGACAGTGCTGTCCCACATTGAGGACAGGGCCTCTGACCCCCGGCCCCTGCCGTCTCAGTGTGTGCCCGGTCAGCCCCACGTGGCCGTCCTGTGCGGGAGGCGGCTCCTACCTCCCAGGCTCGCCCTCCCGCAGCACCCTGTGCACTAGCATCACTTCCCATTGGTCCGAGGTCCCCGCTGCTCACTGACACCTGTTCGGATGCCACCCTGTGATTTGGTTTTGACAAATCATCCATTTCACACTTGCCCGTTCATTGTCGTTTTGCTCCCTCATGGCCAAAACATACAAGAGGCTGCCACCAGAAGCCGTCGTTTGCTTGTCGAATCCCACAAGGGTTCGCACGTTGACTAACAGCTCCTTTTGCTGAATGGCAATTAGCCCCTGACTTCGGCCCCGAAGTATGCGGAGGATGACACGGTTCTCAAGCTGTGTGTTTCAGCAACAGGGATTGTTGCCATCAAAGGGTGCGTGGTGTTCTGATAGGGCGATGACCAGGCAGCCTCTCAGGCAGCCCTCAGTCAGGGAAATGGTGCGTTAGGCTGCAAGAAAAGCTTCTGAACCTGACATGCCCAGTCTCAGCCTGTGCAGAGGGATTTGTGGATTCAGTGGGCGGATGCTTGTGTGGTGCCTGCTGTGACCCATGACCCGGTCCTGGGCGGGGCACAGGACGCTTCAGCAAACGAGGTCCTGCCCCCAGGAAGCCTGAAACAGGGGTTCCCATCACCTCACAGCCTCTGTGAGTCTGCGTGACAGGTTCTCTCATGCATCTCCAGGGAGGTAAGAAAACGAGAAGATAAGGTTTTCAAACAGCTAAACATTTTTGCTGTGAAGGACTCTGCTTGATTTTGAGATTATGAGGTGTCTATTCTGGGGTTAAACTGTCTTTTGTTTTTATAGTCACAGTGACATTAATTGGTGGTGGGGATTTGGTGTTTTTTAAACACCTTCACTTGGCAAAATTCAGTCGCCCTGAGGCATGTTTGGCCCATGAAATCCTGAGGCCTGGACGCCTGCCTTGGGGCACCTGTGCCTTCCACACCCAGCTCACAGGAAGGCCTGCCCACCCAGGGTCCTGTGGGCTTCCATGGTCCCGGACATCCCTCCTTCCCAGGGCCAGAAGTCACATCTCAGGCTCAGCCTCTGCCTCGCTGAACTTCAGGTTCTTCCATCGACTCTGGCCACAGCAGCAGCCACTGCCACGTGTACACAGTATCTCCCACCTAGTGAAAATATCCTCCGTATAGCAGCCTTTGGAATCTGGTCCTCAAGCCTGCAGAACAGCCACCCTCCAAACAGACTGGGATCAGAATCTCAATTACAAATCCAGATTCCTGGGCCCCTCCTCCGCCCTGCCAAATCAGCCCCTTGTTGCAGCTTGCATGCCTCTGGTGATGGGGAGCTCACCACCTCTTAGGAAATCCTCCCATCTTTGCGCGGTGCCAGATATTCAAAAGCGTGCCCGCTTTGCTTTTCTAATTGAGATGCAGTGTGTGTGCAGTAAACCTCCCTTGAGCCCGTCCCTGACGACTGCCCCTGTGGTTTTCTCTGTTCTTGATAAAAACGGGATTCTGGTGTGCTCTCGTTTGCACCTGGCTGCTTTCACTCCCCACAACGGCTGTAGATGGATCTGCACTGTGGCGTGTGCCTGAGTTTTGTTCTTGTGTGTGGCTGTTTAATATTCCACTGTGTACGTGAACCACATTATCACCCTATCCATTCTGCTGGCAACTGACACTGGTCTCCAATCTCTGGCTATGGCAAGTAAAGCCACTTTGCACGTTTTTGACCCTGTCTTGACCCACAGAAGAACTCCCTTCTCTGGGGGACGTACATACACACCTAGGAGTGGACTTGCAGGGTCCTGGGGTTGACCACGGCTGTGCCACTCAGGGCCCCTTCAGCTGTGTGTGAGGATTCCGGTCTTGGTTCCTCCCAGTCCTGTGAACTTGAACCATTCAGGAAGTGGGTGGCTGTACTTCAATGTGCTTTCGATGAGTAATGAGAAAAATAGCATCACACCCTGTGCTTTCTGGCTATTGGATGTTCTCTTTGTGAAGTGCCTCTTTGAGTTGTGAATTTGAGGCAGGGGGTTGCTTGTTTTCTACTTACTGGTTTATAGAAATGTTCAAGTATATTCCATATATGAGGCTGCTGTTGGTCTGCGTGTTGAGACTTTCCTCCCAGGCTGAGCCTTCCGACGGTGTGAGTGGTCTTTTGGTGAACTGAGGTTTCTAATTTTAATAGAGTCCAGTCTACCAGTCTTTTCTTTTAGGGTTAGTGTCTTCTGCCCGGTTTAAGAAATCTTGGCCAACCCCAAATCTGGATGTGCCCATCGGTGCCAGCTGAGGGTGGCGGCTAAGGGCTCAGTTTCTGCAGCCTGAAGATCTGGGTTGGAACCCAGGCCGGCTGCTTTTCTGAGTCTCAGCTTCCCATCTGTAAAGTGGGATGCCTGCTCGTGGGGCTGTTAGGGACACGAATGAGCTAATGCATGTGACATGCTTGGTCCCCGTGGACAGTGGCAGTTGGTCAGTTGCTACCCGGAGCTCAGCTGCTGTCGCCCATTCCCTGGGTGTTGACAGAAACCCACGTCCCGGATGCCCAGCCCCCAGACTGATTCTCAGGTCTGGGTGGGTCCCTGTCCCTGGGGGCTTCTCATGCCCTACCAGCATGGGGGCCTCCAACCCAGCCCAGCCCTCTCCTGTGCAAGAGGAGGGGATGGCAGGAGAGGGAGCAGGGCTGCCCGGGTTGCAGTGAGACTGAGCCCAGGCCTCTCCCCAGCCCCACGCCCTGCCCCTGCACGGACAATAAGCACCCAACCCCACCCCCTTGCTGCATTTCAGTGGGGACGCCGTACTACATGTCACCGGAGAGGATCCACGAGAACGGCTACAACTTCAAGTCCGACATCTGGTCTCTGGGGTGTTTGCTGTACGAGGTGAGCCTGGTAGTTTCCACGGTGGACCCCCTGCAGGGCGGGGTGCACTCTGCCAGCTGGGGGGAGCCCAGGGGTGGGCGATGTCTGCCTGTGCATCTGGGGCCGCTCCCAGGTCTGGTGGCCATCCCGAGTGCAGGGACAGGCACGTGTCTGAGCCTTGGTAAGCTCAGACATGGCACAACATGAACAAACGATGCCCCCGCCCCTGGGGCCCCAGACGACCAGGGGTCTGGGGAGCACAGGCCGCTTTCAGCCGTGAAGCTGTCAGGGAAGGACGGCGGGAGGCCTGAGCCCGCTTGTGTCTCCGTGCTGGGGCCACACCCTCCCACTACCCCAGCCCTGCACCACCTGGTGCTGGAATTCTCTCTAGCTACCCCTCCAAGTCCAGTTACTTCTTCAGGGAAAGACTGTGGCCGCAGGGGCAGCTGAGGCCAGTAACAAAGCCAAGCCCAGGCCACGTGCGGCCCTGGCTGTCCCTGGGCTCAGTGCTCCAGCATCAACAGCCCCGTCCCCCCACGTCCCAGCCTGGGTCTGAGCAGGGCATTCCAACCCACCTCCAAGAAGCCATCGTCCACCCGGACGCCTGTCCTGAGGGGGAGGGGCTGCTGCTCTGTGTCTCCCAGGACGCAGCAGGTGGCCAGAGGGGGCCATTTTGGATTAGCACACGTGTGTGTGTGTGTGTGTGTGTGCGTGTGCATGCACAGGCAGCTCTCACAACCGAGGAAATCTGGGTGACAGAGATACAGGGTCCTGGTGGGAGCTCAGACTTTGGCCAGAAGGACCTGAGTTCGAAGCTCAGCTCCCCCTCAGTGCCTGATGGCCCAGGGCAGCTCAGCACCCCCAGTTGCCCCAGTGTAAAGTGGGGCCACACCTTGCCTCCTTGTGAGGTGCGAATGGCCTCGCTCCCCCTTGCTGTCCGCCAGCCCCGACCCGCTGCGGGCCCAGCAGCTGGCATTGGCCGCCAGGCTCTGCAGCCGACCACGTCTGCCGTCCGTCCCGGCCGGCGGGAACCCTGAGTGCAGCTCCGCTTCCGCTGCGTGGAGGACACAGCTTGGTCCCCCTGCCCCCGTGGGTCTTGTCCCCAGTCCAGGTGGCTGGGTCCTTAGTTTTCTGTTCTGAGTCTGGGGTCTCTATGAGCTGCGGCCTGCCTCTGTGAACCGTGAGGGTCCGCAAACAGACCCGCGGAGAAGCAGACCAGGGTGGCACAGGTGCACATGGGGAGGATGGCAGCCGTCCCCCTGTGCTAGGACCCAGCTGTCCACACTGGAGCCACCCTGCTCTCTGCCCAAACCTGCATCTCAGCCCCTAGAGAGAAGCACACGCAGCCTGAGCGCGTCCGCGGTGCTTGCCCCTTCCCGGCCAGGCAGCCCTCCAATTCCTTGTCTCAGGCACCTAAACGCAGGTCTGGTGACACAGCGTCTGTGTTAGTGGCTCCCCAGCACAGAGGCTCTGAGTCGCCAGGGTGATTTATTTGTTGGCGGTGTCTGGGGCTGTGCGGCTTACAGCCGGGGAGGGACACATCAGCCGTGTGGAATCGATAACATCCATCAGTCAAGTCCTATGGGCGTCGATGTCCTTGGGGACAGCAGGGGCTGATCTCAACCTAATGGCCCTGGGTCTCCCACAGAAGTGGACTTCCGTGGCTGACGTGGCCGGTTGTGGGCAGCCCCTCCGGGGGTGACAGTCGGTGGGGGCTCTGCCCTGGGCTGCCCCCCCCTCCCCTTCCCCAGCCCCGCGGGGAAGCAGCGTGTCTGTTTTCCCAGCAGACGGGGAGGGAGACGCGTCTGAGCCCAGGGCTCGGTAATTGGAAGGAAACGCCCCGCAGACACGGCTGGAGCTCCTGCTACACCGCCCGCGGTGTGTTCCGGGGCACCAGCCTGAAGAGCTGTGACAGGGGCTCCCCACCAACTCTGGACCACGTGTCTGAGGGGTTGGCACGGCCCCCGTGGAGCTCGCCTGGGCACGGAGCCAGGGGAAGCCTGCGCCTGACAGGGGCAGCGGGCCTGCCCTCCCTTGGGCCCCAGCGAGGACGCGAAGAATCAAAGTCCCTTCTAGGTTTCCTGTGGCTGCTGCGGCCTGTCACCGCCGAGATGGTGGTTTCATGCAACATAAAATTACTCTCTCACCGTTCTGGGGGCCAGAAATCCAAAGTCAGGTTCAGTGGACTGACACCCTCAGGGCTGGCACCTTCTGCCATGTGCGTCCCTGGGCTCCTGGCCCCATCACTCCCTCGACACACCTCCTGCTCTTCTGTAGTCAAATCTCCCTCTGCTCCCTCTTATGAGATGCCTGTGGTTGTGTGGAGGGCCCACCTGGACCACCTACGGTAATATTCCACCTGGGAAGTCTCAGTTTAACCATACCTGCCAAATCCCATTTGCCACCCATATGAGGTAACACATTCACAGGCCCCAAGGGTCGGAACGAGGACGTCTTTAGGGGCCTATATTCAGCATCGGATGTCCACCAGGGACCTCCTCAGGTCACCTAAGGTAGTGTGCCCCCAAAGCACTACCCCTGGCCTGTGCCCTTGGGAGTGGGGGGGTGGGTCCCCGAGGGATCTGTCTTGAAGAGGTCAGCACAGGAGAGGCCACGGCTCCAGGGGTGGAGAGAATCCCAGAATAGCACCAGCTCGGTCCCAGCCTCACTCTAAGGGAGGAAACCGAGGCCCAGCGAGTTGGAGAGACTCCAGGTGTCAAGCACCCTCCCTTGGCCCAGAGCCGGGCCTCTGCCGCCTCCCCAGCCAGCGGGGTAGGCGTGGCCTCGGTGGAGAGGGAGACACGGGATCTCTGCCCAGAGCCCCTGGGAGGAGAAAGCCAGGTTGTGAGGAGGCTGAGTGACGTCAGTGGCCCCTCCTCTGCCCCGGGAGCTCCGGCAGAGACGCCGGAGTTCAGCCATGTTGGAAGGGCCTGTGCTTTATTTTCATTACCCAGCATGCCCCAAGGAGGCGCCCAGCGGGCTGCCTGGCTCTGCAGAATTTATTTATCTACAAGGGAGCTGAAGGAATTGGCTCATTCAGTGCCAGCCCCAGGATCGTCAGCGGGGGGCCAGTGGGGGAGATGCTCACAGCTGCCTCCAGTGTGGGACTGAGACCAGGCAAGAAAGCAGGCTGGGGAAGAGAACTAGGATCAGCTGCGCTTTGCTCGGAATCCTGCTCTGGAATTCTGGCCCGAGCCAGAGAGTGGTCTGGATGCCCTTACTTTGTTGGGGAGCAGGCTGCTTGGCGACGGGGCTCTGGGTTCAGACTCCAGGATGTGCCGGGAGATGCGGGGTGACAAGAGGGGATCGGAGACCCTGGCAGGGTGGGAGTCACAGGCAGCCGCTGTTCTCCCTGCAGCTTGATCCCCCTTCTCCGTCAGACAGCTCCTCCGAGCCGTCCCAAGCTGGACACGTGAAAAACCAGAGCCTGTGTTCATGGGCCAACATTCGAACGTCCTTTCTACTGTGAATAGAAACCCTTTGCAAGAAAACCCATCTTAACCCCCTGCCACTGCTAGGAGGGCACCCAGACCACCCCGAGTGACCCCAGAGCCTCAGCTGCTCTCTGCTGTGGCAACAGATGTCCTGTTGAAAATGCCCAATTAACCCTTTGAACTGAGGGTCTCATTTTCATCATGGGAAGTGGGTCACCCAAGCAATGCCATTTTGCACAGGCAGGGGCAAAGCCAGCTCGCGGCCAGGCTGGCGGAGCCAGCAGGGGGCAAGGCCTCCGCACACTCCGCCTTCCCTGCCTGGTGCCAGGGCCACTCTCTCTGTGTGGCCTGTTCTCGGTCCAGATGGGTTCCCAGCCCTCACAGAGGGGCCCAGAGCCCTGGTCACGGGAGCAGAGAGGTGAGGCTGCCCCCGAACACCCACTTGGAAGCAGTTGGCCTGGCCCAGGCACCTGGGCCCACAGGTGCTGCCCAGACACACTCCTGGGCCTGGGACAGAGAAAACCCCCAAATGTCCCAGCCACACGGCTGTGTCCCCAGTGGCCGCTTATAAACCCAAGGATGCTGCCTGGGCTCTGAAGTGCCCTAGGGTTCAGAGATGAAGAGAGGAGAGGCAGACAGGGGAACTGAAGCCAACCAGCACTCACACGCCCAGCTGGCTCAGGCTCCCCCAGCCCTGAGACAGGCAGGGCTCGCTGGGCCACCCTCCGCGCCAAGGACAGGGAGGCGTCCCTCCCACCCCAGGGCCCCACCTCAGCCAGAGACCAGGAGCCCTGGCCTGGGGCCCGTGCCGAGTGGCCTTGGCTGCCTGGCTCCTCTGAGGGAACGAGGGCAAACGGACAGACAGGGTAACTGCCTGGCCGAACTTTGTTAGCAGGAGGCACCTGGCGGCCTTTCGGCGGCAGGCCACAGCAAGTGGGAGTGACGGGCAGCACTTGAACCCGATAACGGATTAATCGGCATATGGGGCCGCAGGTGCCGTTCTGGGCTGCCGCACCGCAGCCTCTCTGAGCTGCCCCTGGCTCCCAACGATGCCGTGAGTGGTGGCCGGGGGTGTCCGGTGTCCTCCAGGAGGGGGAGGCCTGGTCACTTCCTGACTGGGTGGGAACTGGCTGGGGCCGCCATAGTCCTTCGGCTGCCCAGTGCCCCAGGAGCTGCCCACCTTCAGGTCTCAGGTGGAGCCCCTGCCCACATTAGGGACACGAAGACCAAAGGCCAGACACAGCAAGCACCCAGAGTTTCTGTGACACAGAGGGCCCCAGTAGCTCCTGCATCCAGGTTGGCCAGCGGCCAGCCTTCCCCCTCCTGCCGCCTGCCCCCTGAAGATCTGGGTGTCCAGCTTCCAAGACAGCAGCGGCCAGGCCTTCGGTCAGCAGCCCTGCAGTGGCCTGGCCACAAGGGAGACATCCCCCCACCCCGATGTTTGTCCATAGGTAATTCCCTAAATGGATTACCTAAATAGACATCCTCCCATGGGTGTTTTTGGAATTCGCCTCTTAGAAATGTAGGTCGATGCACCGAGGGAACCTGCCGGGCCCGGGCATCCGCCCTACGGAGCAGAGCTGCGTTCCGCCCTGTGCTCCCCCAAGCGGCCAAGCCGGCCCCTGAGAGCCGAGGCGTGAGGCGAGCGTGGGCCTGTGCATGGCCAACCCTTGGGATTCAGGGGACTGCCTTTCAAGTTTTCTCACTGAAACTCTTGTCCCATTCGATTTGCTCACGTAGCAAGGATCATGTGCAAAAGCCCCTCCTGTCGAGTTCCAGCTTCCTCAGGGTTTGGGGGAAGTCCTGCAGGACAGTGGCTATAGTGGGGCCTGGAGATGGGCCACACCTCACTCTGGACTTCAGGGTTGAACGCTCCTCTCCCCCACCCCTCCCCCACAGATGGCAGCTCTCCAGAGCCCCTTCTATGGAGATAAAATGAACCTCTTCTCCCTCTGCCAGAAGATCGAGCAGTGTGACTACCCACCTCTCCCCGGGGAACATTACTCTGAGAAGGTGAGTGGCTGCCCTCGCTGGCCCAGGCCAGCCCCAGAGAGCCTCGTGGGGAGGGGGCTGAGCTCAAGTTCACTCCGGGTGGGGGAAGGAGGACTTCTGGGAAAGTGACTCAGAGGGAACTGCAGACAATCGCTTCCGAAGGGCTCTCCCGACACAGGTGTCTGCTTGGCCCCCTCCCCAGGGCTCCAGCGTGGGGCGGCAGCGACACGCCTGGGCTTTGCGTGGTGTCGGGCAACGGAAACCAGACACTGAGGCAGGAGGTGGCCCTGGCTGACCCCACACCACTGCTGGCCGCCACCCCACTCACGTGACAGGAAACCATGGCAAACAGGCTGGTCTCTTTGCTGTCACAGACCTAAGTCACACCTTGGTTTTTTATTTCGGACATTTCACACCAGGCACGGGGGCTCTGGACGCGGACTCACAGGCTCCAACAGGCAGGTCTGGCGTCGGGCTGTCAGGCACCGTGTGTGAGCATCGTCCTCCCAGTTCCATGGCCTTGAAAATAGGGGCAGTGTTTGCCTTCATGACTAAAATGTGAGGATGGAACCGCAGGTTTTCAGCACAGCATGGCCGAGCGTGTAGACGGAGGTGCAGATTGACACACTCCCTCCACCGTTTGTGAGCAAGACACTAAACTTTTCTGAGCCTCAGTTTCCTCATCTGTAAAATGGCCCTAGACTCTGCCTCACAGGGTCAGTGTAAGGAATGAGGTGACTGTGTGATGTGCTCAGTCCAGCACTGGGCTGACACCGACACCGTCACCACCCAGAGTAGCCTCTGCACATAGCACAGGGCCTGGCTCAGAGTAACTGCTCAAGAAGTGTCAACTGTTATCCTTCTTTCCGTTCAAGGTCAATGCTAGTAGATCCATGATTGTGATTTCTGTCCAAGGTCAACACTAGCGGGGGTGGAGTCCAAGACCTCCCTGGGCAGGGCGACACAGGCCCTTCGCTGCCTCCTGATAATGGCATCTTACCTTTATGACCTACTCTGCGGGACCCTCCCCTATCTCATTTTTTTTTAATTTACTTACTTACTTATTTATTTTAATCCTCACCTGAGGATATGGTTTTTTTTGTTTTTTTTTAAATTTTTTATTGATTATGCTGTTACAGTTGTTCTATTCCCCCCTTCATTCCCCTCCACCCTACTCCCCATCCCCACCATTACCCCCCCTTTAGTTTATGACCATGTGTCTCAATCCCTTTAGATTCTATATTTCCCATGCTATTCTTGCCCCCCCATCTATCTTCTATCTACTTCTATTTTCTATGCTACTTATTTTCTGTGCCTTCTCCCCCCTTCTCCTCCTCCCACTCCCCTGTTGCTAACCCTCCTTGAGATCTTCATTTCTATGTTTCCACTCCTGATCTAGCCGTCCTTTTAGTTTGCTTTCGTTTTAGGTGTGGTTGTTAATAACTGTGAGTTTGTTGTCCTTTCACTGTTCATGTTTCTTTAACTTCTTTTTCTTAGATAAGTCCCTTTAACATTTCATATAATAAGGGCTTGGTGATGATGAACTCCTTGAATTTGATCTTATCTGAGAAGCACTTTATCTGTCCTTCCATTTTAAATGAAAGTTTTGCTGGATAGAGCAATCTTGGATGTAGGTCTTTAGATTTCATGACTTGGAATACCTCTTTCCAGCCCCTTCTTGCCTGTAAGGTCTCTTTTGAGAAATCTGCTGACAGTCTGATGGGGACTCCTTTATAGGTGATTGTCCCCTTAGCTCTTGCTGCTTCTAGGATTCTCTCCTTCATTTTAATTTTGGCTAATGTAATTATGATGTGCCTTGGTGTGTTCCTTCTTGGGTCCACCTTCTTTGGGACTCTCTGAGCTTCCTGGATTTCCTGGAAGTCTATTTCCTTTGCCAGACTGGGGAAATTCTCCTTTATTATTTGTTCAAAAATTTTTTCCACTGGTGGCTGTGCCTTTCCCCCTTCTGGTACCCCTATAATTCGGATGTTGGAGCGTTTAAAGATGTCCTGGAGGTTCCTAAGACTCTCCTCATTTCTTTGAATTCTTGCTTCTTGACTCTTTTCTGTTTGGCCATTATTTGCTTTCTTCTGGTCCACTCCATTGATCTGAGTCCCAGTTTCCTTTTCATTGCTATTGGTGTCCTGTGCAATTCCATTCATTTCAATTAGTTTCGCCTTCATATATTTGTCTAATTTGTCGGTATAATCAACCAGTTCTGTGAGGATCCTGATCACCAATGTTTTAAACTGTGCGTCTGTGAGTTTTGCTATTTCTTCATCGCTTAGATCTGTTGGCTCTGGGGCTCTGAGATCCTCCTGCGCCATTCTTGGTCTGTTCCGGCCCTTTAAGTGTGAGAAGCGGCACCTCGGATTCCCAGGTCGCTGGGTTGTGACGCTGTATGTGGGGGCGTGGTCAGAGCGGGGAAATGGCGGCCCCCTCTGCTGTTTCTCACAGCTGGGTGCGGAGCAGTGCCTTAGGTGGTTCACCTGGGCCGGGCCACTCAGAGTCGCTGGGTTATGACGCTGTATGTGGAGGTGGGGTCAGAGCAGGGAAATGGCGGCGCCCTCCACTGCCGCTTGCCGTGGGGACCTGCCGGCCCGGTCCAACCGCCCACTCCCTCACCTGTCCACCCGCACACAAATGCGCGACCTCAGTCAACACGCAGCCCCGCTGTCTCCCCCTCGGTCGCTCGCCTGGTTGCTCGCTGTGTCGCTCACTAGGTCCAACCCTGCGCCTGGATTCCGTGCGTCTGGATTCCACGCCTGAGTCCGTCTGACCGAGTTTTCCTGTGCAATCCCGCTTCACCAGCCGCTGGTTTCGCCCCTTACCGGTCAGGCTGAAGAATTTGTTGTTAATGGACTTCCGAAAAGTTCAATTTTCCGTGTTCTGGCTGTGTTTTCTGTTAATATTTAGTTGTCTCTAAACTTGGTTGTGTGAGAAGGCACGGCACATCCACCTATACCTCCATCTTGGCGGAAGTCTCCCCTATCTCATTTTACTGGTGAGGAAACTGAGGCACAGGCAGGTTAAGTCACTTGCCCAAAGCCACATCACTTGTAAGTGGCAGAGGCAGGGTTTGAGCCCAGCCTTTGAACTTGATGCCATGCTTGCTCACTGGCTTCAGGCTCGTGGGCGGAGGACAGAGGGCAAGGGCTAGGAGCGCATGTTCCCAGAGGCGTTCAGTGCCCTCCCTCTCCCGTGGCTTTGCGTTGGTGGCTCACCAGGCTCCTCCAATGCCCTTAGAGGAAGGATTTAGGCTCTGCTGGGGAAGTTGCCAAAGCTCTGCCGGGGAAGTTGCCAAAAAAAACCCCCCAAAAAACAAAAACCCTGCCACCCTAGTTAAAGTGCTTGACCTAGTTAATGGTTGCGCTTGGTTTTTATTCTCACCTTTTAAGTTTTGAATTCTGTACTGTCTGGAACCAAGAAGCCTGGCAGGAGCAAACCCCAACTTCTCTGTGCCTCACTTTCCCGCCTGTAAACGGGAGCCCTGGTCTGCCTTGCAGACGGGCAGCCCCCGGCCCCTTCTCTGGTCGTCCCACCGGTGCGAGCTCCAACCCCCGGAGCCCTGGCCTCCCCAGGGATGCGCCCCTTCGCAGGCCATGTGTTGGCAGGAGGGAGCTCTTGGCTCTGGAGACCCCCAGCGCACCTTGATTTTGAAGTACCCTCACCTCTTAGGAATGGAAGTGGACACATTTTTGCTTCTCTTGAATTCTAAAATTCCCAAACATGCACTTACTGCCCACTACATGGTGTACTCAGAGCAACGATGGGGGTCACATAAACATCACCTTCATCCAGTCTCCGTGGGTACGTCACCTGTCAGAACCACACACAGCTACCACCCCCTGAACGTGAGGAGCCCTGTAAAAGTACTGTCTCCTCCTGGCCAATGGGGGTCTCCAGGAGCGTCCCCACTGGGTGCCCAGCGTGTGCGTAGCGGTGGGATCCACAAAGGCGACGCAGTCAGAGGGCGCTCACAGTGCCCGACCCCGCGGAGCCTTGTTTGCAGCCCGAAACCTCAGGTGTGACATGTGCATCGTGCACAGGGGCCCTGGGGCCCACACGAGCCCCTTGTCCGGGGCCACCCTCTCCCACCGCTGCCCCTGACCCACAGGGCCAGCCAGTCCCTCCAGCAGCAGGTCTTTCAATGAAAAAATTGCAGTGAGCCCAGTGATGCAAGTTAAGATGTAGGCTTTTTAAGGTCATTATTTTAATTACCGTTAAAATAATTGGCACTCTGGCTATCGGAGGGGAGGGGAGCCAGGCTCGAGGCGCCCTCCCCACCCCCGCGGCTGGCGCAGCCTACAGTGTCTGTGTAATTAAAAGCTCCGTCTTTCACGAGCACAATAAAGAGGCCAGGGGGTGGGCAGACTGCAGCCCTGCTGCATGTTAATGCATTTATTATGATCAATAAGCCCTTGCCTGGAGTCCTGTCCTCCAGTCTGGGCATCTCTGTGACTGACAGCAGACACACACACAGATTTGCCTAATAGTGCGAGCATCTGAAGCTCAGAACCATGTGCAGGTAACCACTGCCGGGTCTCTGAACACAGGCCCCAGATGGGTGCTGGCTCCGCAGGGTGGCTGTGACCGTGCACGCCCACCCCCATCCTCTCTGGTGTCTGTTTTCACCTCCTTGTCGCCTGGAGGGCTGCAGGAGTCAGCGAGTGAGTTGGCGCAGACTGAGTGCTGTGGGGCCTCAGCAAGGCTGCTTGCTTAAGCCTAACGAGCCGTCCCCTCCTTTGCAGCTACGGGAGCTGGTCAGTGCGTGCATCTACCCTGACCCCAACCAGAGACCCGACATCGGATACGTGCACCAGGTTGCCAAGCAGATGCACGTGTGGACCTCAAGCACCTGAGCGCAGGCGCGGCGGCATCGTCATCAGCGCCAGCACCTTTCTGCCTTACTCGAGCCTCCTCTCCAAAGTGGCCACCTGGTAGCCTAGCGCAACCCTGAGGCTTCGGTGGGGTTGGTTCCCCAAGGTGGCCGGGCCTCACAGCCACTGCTGGACCAGAGCAGCTGGGGGGAGGGGCCCTGGTCTTGTTACTGGCGATCAAATCCAAGTCCTTTCTTTAAACTGTCGTGGACAGTCTCCGCTGGGCTAACCCAGGTGTGTGGCTCAGTGGGCCGGGGACACACCCTCGCATCTGGGCTGTAATGTGAATCTTTAGGGTAGCTCCTTCAGTGACCGGACGAGGCCGACTCTGACAACCCCAGAAGACAGTTGCAGTGAAACCTTGGAAGTGGCTGGTAACACGTTTGGTTTAGCTCTTAGAATCTTTTCAATCGAGCTGTGTACTTAATTTACTCTGTAGTAAAGGGATAAAGTGGGCGTGATTTTCTAAAGTAGAGTGGAGATTTTCCTAATATTTTTATCTGTGTTTATAAGTTGATGAATGAGGACGAGGAGGACCCAGCACCTGGCACAGTGCTTCAGAGACCAACGGTGTTTGAAAGGCACATGCCCGACCCTCTCAGGCACTCCATCCCCGCCCGATGCTGGCAGCTCGTTTAGGGTCAGTGTTAACATCTTCCTCTGTGGAGAGGAAGCATGGCATCCAAAAAGATAGGTACAAAACATGCCTTCAGGCTGTTCTCTGTACCAGTTCTCCTTCTGAAACTTCCCACCATGACCCTGGGCAAGTCTCTTAGCCGCTCTGAGCCTTGGTTTTCTCACCTGTAAAATGGACTGGTGATTCCTACCTTCAGGGTGCTGAATTTGATAAGAAACAGCACATTGTCTAGCACGTTGTCGATAGTCCAAACACGGTAAAGCCACCCACCCCTTCACAAAACTCAACTTCCATGGACCATGGAGAGTCAAGAATTAATGTGTGATGTGTTGGAAACCAGAAATGTGGCCCTTTATTTGTGGTTCCCAAATAGGGTTAACTGTGAAGATTAATTTATAAATGTGAACTTAAGGAAAACTCAAGCTCTGAAGGAAATAGTTTGAATTTTGTCTGTATACCCAAGTTAATCCTCAAATGGTCTACGCCGCCGTCCTCTCCCCTGGTGGCAGTTCAGCCCTCCAGGCAGAGCACGGCCGCCCCGCACTGCAGTCCTGGCCCGGCCGCCACTCTGCCCCATGTGTGAACTCGGTTCTGTTGTTAACACTGTCGAGTTTGAGAGATTTCTTCAGATGCAGCCTTCGCTTTGTGCACGTTCTCCGTGTTTAAAATAAAGAGGGTGGGGGTACCTGTGTGAGCGCGTCTGGTCCGTGGGCAGCTCTCAAACAGCATCTCGCCGCAGCCCAATTCCTTGAGGCAACTTGAAAAACACCATCTTCTCAGGACCCAGATATTCTGAGTAATCCTGGAAAATTTTTAAGCTCCCAGATAATTCTGACAACCATCAGCCAAGCTGCTGCCCTAAGTAATTCCCCTGTTCTCCCTGCCCCACTCCCGGCAGTTTTAACGGGAAAGGCTGGCCCAGGAGCTGGTGCTGGGCCCTGCCATGCCCCTCTGGGGGAGAGTCAAGGCCCTGTCTCCTACTGAGCACTTCCCACCGCAAGTTTTTCGGATTCCAGGCAGATTTTTCCAAGTGTTCTGCTTAAAGTTCTGAGTCCCTCCTGTGCCTCCTCTGGCAGAATCAGCGTCAGACACAGATGAACTCACTTTTTCCACATGTCACAAGAGTCATTCTGCCTACTAGGACCCTCTGGAGGCGTACAATCTCTCCCATTCACCAGGCCTAAGTGTCTGCGAGGTGAGTGCACCCTAGTAATTACAAACGGCAGTTCCTCCAGCACGCCTCTGACTTCCCGGAGACCTGCCTAAGAGAAGCCTGCCCGGTGCTCTGCAGCTGTGGCAAAGCGGACTCTCCACCCACCTGCTTCCCACCAGCACTCGGAACTGATCCCGACTATTTCTTTCCCATTTGGCTGCCAGGAGATAAAGGCTATGCTGCACTCATCCTTAAAAAAAAAAAAATTAAATTAAATTACAAAGAAAACACTGGGACCATCCGAAACAAAGACAGGAGAGTTAATGCACGGGGTGTCAGTATGAGGGTGGGCACACACGTCCCGTGAAGAATCAGGGTGGCCCTCCCTGACCTGCCGCACCAGGAGCCCCGTCTGCGTTTAGGGTTGTGTTGCTCGCACACCCACCCGCACAGAGACGAGCCCCCGGGAGGGAGCGGCATCCGAGGGGAGCCCACCTACGGGGCCTTCACAGCGAAACACGAAAACGCCCACACAGCCCCAGACCTCAGCCACCCAATTTGGTTTTCATTTTTTATTGGGTTTCATCCAGCAAACATGAGCCAAACTGTCTCACAGAGGCACCCCCACTGCCCCCCGCCTCTACAACAGTGCCCAGCCGCCCGGACGCTGTTCAGGAAGTGTCCATCGTCTGCACTGTTTCTTCCAGCACCTCAATTTCCAGGGCAGTGACTTTTTCAGTGAGGACCGCAGTGGTCCCTTTCTCACACCGGTACCGACCAAACCTGGTGAGAAAAAAAAAAACCATTTAAGAGTTAAGATCCCCTCTAGGGCCCGACAGAGGAAGGGGTGTTCATTCAGGGGAGGCCTCGAGGCCTGGCCTGGAACCCTGGCTCTCCTGACCCCCAGCCCTGTGACCCCAGGGGTGTCCGGCCGCCCCAAGGCTCTCTCTCCTCAGCTCGCAAAGGGGTATGGAACAGGGACACCTGGTGGGCACTCACGCCCTTGCCCACCTCACCAGCCCCAGGGGACGCTGGAAAGTGTGTGGGCATTTGCCCTCCAGCTTCGGCCCCCTGGAAGTGCCTCTCAGTAACCAGCAGGAGGCAGACCCTTCTCATTAAGCGGCCATCACTTTCTCTTGTACAGCAACAAGGCAGACCTGTCTCTTTAAACATGGAAAAAATATTTGCAAGCATAAACAGTATACAAATGACCTAGGGCCAGACTCTGGCTTGCTACCTCAGACCACTCTCAAGACTCAGGGAAGGACAGTTAACTGTCCCTTGCAGGGACATGGTGGGTCACCATTAGGACACACCCAACACCGTCTTTCTTGGCGTGCATGCAACAGGTCTCTGAGCACAAGGCGGTCTCCAAGACACACAGTCGAACTGCTGGTTCTTGTGCGGGGGCCACACAGCAGCCCAGGGCCACCTGTTCCTCTGGTCTGTCTCCAGCTGGGACACTTTCTATCAACTTGCCAGGGACTAACAGAACACTCCTGGCTGTGCCATGGCCATGTGCTCCTGGAAAACCCATCTTCTCAAAGGCACTCTCTGCTCCGAGAGCAGGAAGCAGAAATTCGAGAACAATGTTACTAAGCTCTGTATGGATCCAAGAGTTTGCACCGCAGAGAGCAGCTGGCCCTTACTCCTGGTACCTCCCCGCACCCTCCACACTCATTTGCAGCTGCACCTTTTTATGACGTGCCCAGCACTTCCCCGTTGGTGTGAAGGTGTGGCTCCTTCCCCCAGACTGGACCCTTGGCAGCTTGTCATCTTGAAGCCAGAGCCCCATGTGGCTCCCATGTGCCCAACTCATCTGAACCACAGCATCTGGGGGCGCCCTGGACACACGGGAGCCTCCGCACCGCCCTGGGTTACGGCGCCTGGTTTCAGCAAGCGGGGAGGCCTCTGCCTTAAGCAGCAGCAGGCTGGGAAACAGGGCCATGGAGGGCTGAGAGCAGAGGGGCCAGTGGGCATGTGCAGGGCCAGGCGCACTCTGGGACTGGGCACAGGATGCCTGCTTGGGCCACAGGCCCCGCCCCACCCTGACTGTCCCCTCTGGGAGAGGTGCCCGAACCCAGGTAGGACCTCAACAGTCAGCCACTGGCATAAAAGATAACAGTAAAGTTCCACAGTGCCCACTGCCGCCTGGCACCTGCTGCAGTACCTGGGCACCACAGGGTGGGGGGCAGCTCCGCCCAGAGGGCAGGTTCCCGCCACCTGCCACACATGGTGCCCAGCACCTTTCGCACCACTCACCGCATCCGCATGACTCACTAGCCCAAGGGGCTGCTCTGTTTCTGTACTTGTGCATTTAGTCTCCTTTACACACGGGTGACCTACGCACAGGGGAGTGCAACGTGCCACGACCACACTTCCCTTTGGACAAGGACCCCTGTGCCAAGCACAGGTCCCTTGTCCACCACAAGCAGTGCTTTGCAATGGGGCGTAGCTTCCAGAATCCTCACCCTGGATGCTCAGCCTGGATGGAGTGTAACCAGCTCCCCTTCCCAAACTCTCCACCGTGGACTTGCTCGGGTCACACAACAGTGGTACTTGCTCCCACTTAAGAGAGCTTGGCAAAACCCGCTTCCCCCAACACAGACCCTAGGGGTCACTTCCCTCCTGCTAAAGATCACAGGAACTCCATGGGTCCTTAGAGGGCACCTAGTCTAGCTCCATCATGTCAAAGACAGGGAGACAGACTTGCCCAAAGTCACCAGGCCAGGTAGTGGCATTTCCCCAACCACTGAGCCAGAGCTTTCTGCCACTGGGCTGTGCCACCCATCAAGAACACACGAGTGTCCGCAGTGCTGAGTGCAGGCCAGCGCTCCATGCTCCAGTCCCCCCTTGTGAGTTACTCCTGATCGGGATTTTGAGTGTATGTCGTGGGAGTTAAACCAAGTGCTCCAGAAGCTCCCGTGCTGGCTATCGTCGGATGAATGTGGCTGGAAGCAGAGCTCAGGTAGCCACACACAGTTTGAGCTGCTCAGGTTCCAGGAGGCCAGAGCCACAGGGTGGACAACAGCCAGACAACCATGTGGGACTGCAAATGAGCAGCTCATCTGCGCGCGCACGCGCACGCACACGCACACACACCCCCCCAGCCACCAGAACTGGGAACCTTCCAGCTCTGTTCTGCAAACTGACCTGTGCCCTGCTCAGAGCCTGGGCTGCGCCACTGAGAGGCAGTGCTGGCTCAGCACGCACCACAGCCTAACAGCACGGTTCCCACGAGCGGAGGAAGGGCCAGTTAGCTCCCACAGCCAACGTTCAGACACTCCTGGCCAGGGGTTTCTAACGCTGAGGACTCCTGCACCACTGAGGAAAAGGTATGGGCAGGTCACCCTGAAAAATGCACCTGCTCACAGGATTTCATAGATAATTCAGGGGCTCCTTTAAGAGACTGGAGCAAGTACAGCAGCAGGTAATTTAAAGGTCTCCCCCGGACCTCCCCCCGCACCTAGGGCTCCCTCCTGGGCCTCATACCATCTTTCCTGTCAACATCTTACAAATTATATCACTTTTCTACACCTGAGAGCAGCCCAGAATCATAAAGCAAATCCCGACTCCAACATCTGCTGTGCAGGCTGGCTTGGGGACACTGGGTTTACTCAACGTGAGTCAGAATCAAGAACACTCTGCCTAGACGCCACAGACAGGTCCAGGGTGGTCACGGAAGCTGGGTGACACAGGAAGAACTGTACCCCCTCACTCACCTGGTCCCCTTCTTATTGGGCACTGAGTACGGGCGGAGAAAATCCAGCTTGCTCTTGCTGATGACACAGAGGTCAATGTTACTTCCAGAGCCCAAGTCGTTGAAGATGCCAGCTGCAATGGCCTCACTCACCAGGTTCTTGGCTTCCTCCTCCTGAGAAAGAGAACGGCAACCATGATGCTCAGCAGCACGCGCTTCCTGTGAGGGAGGCACTGCTTCCAATGCTCACTCTACAGATCACAGCACGTAGATGACTGGCCAAAGGTTCCTCGCCTGGTCTGTGCGGGACCCAGGCCTCTCAAACCCCTTGTGCACGTGCCCCCTCTTCAACACACTGCTTCCAGTGAGACCATCACCACACAGCTGAGGATGACGGGCTGACGCAGAGCAGTTATTAAGAAGTCAGTCAGCTTTTCTTGTAAAAGGGACCAGGAAGTAAATATTTTTAGGCTTTGTGAATATACAGCCTGTTACAACTACTCAGCCCAGTCGTTACAGCACAAAACAGCCACAGACAATATGTAAACAAATGTGTGTGGCTATGTGCCAATAAAACTTTATTAACAAAAACGGGTGGTGGGCTGGATTCGGTCCATGGGTGGTAGTTTGCTGACCCCCGATTCAAAATATCCGACAATGGTTGGAACCTGCTTCCTGGTACCATAATGGAGAAAAATCAACATCATAGGGAAAAATAACTAACACCAAAACACAATAATAGTTCTGGAAAAATGGTAGCAGAGACAGGGGTGGGACCTCTTGCCCAAGAGAATCTACTGCCTCCCCCACTAATGAGCCTACAAGTTCACTG